GAGTGCCTGACAGTGCTGTGAGTGCAAGCCATAGCTCCCCTCCTGCTGGTGACTGATCCCCTTTCATAAGCTAAATCCCTTGGATGTTTGATAAGTGAGAGACCCTGCAGGGACTTGTCCTCATCTTTATTCTTGTAAGTTTTTTATTATTCAGAACACTGTTGAAAGAAAATTAAAATCAGGAAAAGGGTAGGAGAAAGCAAGGGGGAGAGGAGGGGAGAAACAGTCCAAATCAGCTGGGCTTAAAAATTACGTATAACAAATTTGCCAGTGTGATTAAACCTGTCAATTATTATTATCAAATTAGAATTACAAGATCGTCCCTGCATGCCTTAGATGCCTTTCTAAGAAGTGGCTGTAAAGGCAGTTTTACTTGAGGGAATGAGCATTTCAAAGAAGGACTGGACTGACATTCGAATGGCAGTGCTGTTCCGAAAACACATAAACTCAGTAAAGTTCTCTGTAAACATAAGATCACAAGATTTGTGAGGGTTATTGTTGGAACTGGTCACAAGTTGTCACTGGAAGAGTTTTATGCTAGTGGGAGCAGAACGCTGATTTTACAGAAGTGAGTATTTTGGAGGAGCAAGTTAATTCTGTCTCAACTTGTGGTAGAATACAAGCAGACAGAGCAGTTAGGAGGTAAGAGAGGCAGAGCCAAATACAGCAGACAGGCAAGGCAGGTAGGGCAGGGCACGTGAGGCAGGCAGGCAGGACAGACAGGGAAGTCCACTGAATCCCCTGACTACCACCTTTTGGCAATGCACTCGACTGTCTGCCCACCTCCAACCATTCTGTCTTGCCTCATTTGCTCAATGTTTTCAAACTGTTCTGAAAATAGTTTCTGAAAATAGTTTCATCTTATCAAAGCAGTCCTGAAAGAAAGGAGGGAAGCTATCTAGGGAACAAAGTCAGTGGATCTGAAAAGGATTCAACTGTTCATTTTTATTCCAACAGTTTTTTTTTAATGGCACTTTTGACACAGTGCAGTTATTTTCATTGCTAAAACATTAAGTTAACTCCCATATGCTAGATTGGCCAGGACCCTTACACTTTTCCACTGTCATGACCACCCCAGACCAGCTTGGCCAGCTTTCCTGGTGGTATCAGACCCCACATGCTGAGTGCCAGTTTTCTGAAGCCTCATATACAGTGCAAATTACTTGTAACAGTGAGATATCTAGGATATTTATCTGCTTACCTATGGCTGTGGTGTGTAACTTGCTGTATTAACTGCACATCAGTTTAGGTATCTTCTTGAAAATTCTGGTAAAACCTCACAAACCAGCTCTGTGGTTAGAGAAGTACTTTGGTTTATGCAATGCTGGAGGTCTAGGGTTAAATAAGAACAGACTTTCATAACGATCCTTTTTGATCTCAGCAGATTATGGAATGGCTTTCATTAGACATGTTCAAGAACAGGTTAGACCACCATCTGCCACTGATGCTATCATGGCAGTGCTGAACTCACTTCATTGTTGATGATCTGTCTCTTCCAGGCCTGTATTTCTGTGGTAACTTAAGGGTTTCATAGCATAATGAAGAATAGTTCAACTGTTGATTTGCACTCCAGGACACATGGATGCACATGTTGTGTGATTTCTGAGCTTAGCGATGTGGCCAGAGCTACAGCAAATATGTGGCAAGTCTGCAAAATCAGGGATTCACTGATGAAAGTTTGTTGTATATTCAATTGAAAACATTGCAGTTTATTACTTCACCTGGACATCTCCCTGCTTGTTCACTCAATAGTCTGCACATTCAGTGTGTCATAACTTGGAGTCAGAAATGTGGAACTTTGCTGGAGTCTTGTGAGGACAACAGCCTTACAGGTCCATATTAACTCCCGTGGAAAATAACCATTATGTCTTAATTTAAATTTCTTAAGTCTAAAAAATCTCTTTTCTGGGTGTCTTTGATGAAGATTCAACAGAAGAATTTGTTAAACGTTTTTACACAAAGCAGCAACCTTGATACTCTTGGCCAGGATATGCAAAATATATAAAAACTATGCAAAGGTTTTAGTTTCTTGAAGGAGGGAAAAAAGAAACACACAGGAGGAAAAAAAAGAAACACAAAAAAATCCCACTACTTTTAAAGGCATATCTGTAAAGTGGAGGTAGTATTCTCAAATGTGGGCGTTTAATGATGTTGAACTTTGCTGTATTGTATAAAGGTACTTTTCTTGTTAATCACTACATATGTATTACTTGCCTGGAGTTATTTGGAGCAATTAATTGGTACAACGTTCCACCTTGGCTTGCACTATTTAACATAGGTAATGTGGTAATGTGATAATGACTCTCAGATTAACAGTGTTTCTAAACTAGAGCCCAATTTTAATTCACAGTAATGTTTGAAGTCTATCAGTCTCATGAGGCAGTAACTTGCTAAGCACAGCAATCCAGTTAGTACAAAAAAAGAGAAATGCTGATGTCTAGAATCAGGGAGGATGAAGCGCTGCACTTTCGTAGAGGTTTTAGTGCTGTGGAGACAAAGGAGGAGCAGGAAGATGGGATGATGCAATTCCTTTAGCACCAAGCTCTTAACTGCTTTGGCTGAACAAATGCAAACACTAATTTATTTAAAGCCTGTTATGAAGACTTACCTTATGGAAAGATGCAGGACATCAGCCATAAAGTACCATTTTGCACTATCAAGTTTTGTTTCTGTGGATTAGGCTCGCAGTTGAAAGAAGTAAAAGACTGCAATTTAAGGGAATTATTCTAAAGTCTGCAGTTTGTCAGCATGGAATCCAAACTCCTGGTGCCTATTGGTTTTTGATTGCCCAACCTCTCTGGGTCTGACACTGGAAGAAATGAGCATTCAATAGCCCAGTCAAGCTGAGCCTTAGCTTTACATCTGTTTGCCCTTCTGCTTGATGCTGGATCTTATTATTAAGATCAACAAGTTGAAATATCAGCTCAGGTGACTGCTGCATGCAGTAAAGCGTTTATCAGCAGTGGCTGTAGGGAGAGGAGAGCACTTTCTGGTGTAAGGTAGCCTCACAGCCCAATTCATAGAGCACCGTCTGTCAGTGACAGGCCACAAGCATTATGCTGTCTTTGCAAGGCCTGAGTCTTGTCAGGATTGCTTTATCTGAACTTGTCTCAACCTGCCTGGAGCTGTGCCTTGGCTTGTTCATCTGTGAAAGCAATTTTTAGAATGAGTAGAAATTTCAGGCATAACATGGATTTACAGGCCAGTGAAGAGAACACTGTTCAGTCTGTTAGCAAATATAAAATGCTCCTACAAAAGCAAACGAAGACTGAGGGAAAAGACACCATCAACGTCACAGACACCCTAGTAAAGATGGGCTGTCAGAGTACTGACAGCTGGCAATATTTCCTTTCTACTCTCATTGCCAGAAACCCTTAGACCCTGAAGATCAGTGCAAATGCAAGGAAAACGTCTACGAAAAAGGGGCAGATAGTAGGAAGCATGTGTGTGTATAACTTTTACCTTACTGATACATTCTCTTCTCTCCTCTCATCTCTCCTCTCCTTTATTCTTGCTTCCTTTTCCCCCATAACAACTGGATCTAGACTAATAACAATTAATACATCAGACTGTTAAAATTCCCATTACACTAACAATAATTTCATGATTTTGCATATAAGGAATGCCTTCTTTTTGCTTATCACGTGTTTTGGAGTATAACATGAATCCAATTAGCAGTGTGCAGAAGTTATAAGCTGACAATGACGTTACCAGATAGAACCCCAGCAATGTGTCCAGGTACCTCTGCCATGACAAATGTTCAGCAGCAACTTTGTGAATTTACTGTCCAGAGCACCCATTACAGATCCTGTGGATCTTGCACATCTAATGAAACAGTTCTTTTGACATCCTCACTTTCTTGTTTTCAGACAAGGCCTCACAGATACTTTAAAAAAAAACATAGGAAAGACAAACATACATCTCACCAAGCCTAGAACATAGGAAAGGGTCCAAAGAAGCCATCTGGAGAGACCACGTTAGGGAGAATCCAACAGTTCTTTGAATTCATTACTAAATGATATGGCAAATTGACTCTTGGTTCTCTGGTATCTAAGTCCAGCATTTCAAATGGAAAGGGTGACTCTGCAGTAGGATAGGGCTTGCAAGGCCAAGTCAAAATATTCCCAGAGTGATGCAAAGCAAAATGAAATAATTAGAATCAGGTGGTATAGTTAAGAACCTGCCTACATTGCTATTAGTTAATGTGTTTGAAATATTTGCTTTAAGGGAAGAGGGATACGTCAGTACTGCAAGATACTGCACAGTGAATTCACTTAAATTACCTCAGTGACACAGACACAGAATGCACCCTCTTTAAGCTTGACCTGGTTCAGTTTAGGTTAATTACATAATAATCATTTAAAAATATATATATATATATAAGTGAAATTCACTATGACACCACTGTGGAGTCATCCTTAGTAGTGGGAGGGATCTGTCTTCTTAAAAGGCAGTGTTAAATGTGTCTCTTCAGAAATACAAATTCTGTGCTTGCAACCTTTCACAAAGTGTTCAAGAAAGGATGAAGGTGGGCAGGCAAAAGCGTTAACCATTATTCTATTTAGTGTGCTCCAAACCTAGCATCAGCCTTGTGTGCACATACAGAGCCATATTTAAATCTGTCTGACATAACTCTGCCAACATCAATGTAGTCACTTCACATTTATTGGCAAGGAGGTTACCATTACAGTTCATGCAGCGCACCAGCACAGGAAACATCTGAGCCTGTATAGAGAATGTGATGGAAAATTACTGGCACGTGGTAAAAAAGAAACTGAAAACATTATGCAGCCCATTTGCTGCATAAGAAGAAACAGTAAGTGAAGAGTTTTTATATCCTTCAGTGGTCAGTTTGGTGTATTGAATTAATTCCATATCTTTCTAAGATGACTTCTTTATAAATGTTTTGTACAGGAGAAGAAAATAAATATAACGGTAAAATGTTGTTTGAAAACTACATGCCACTTAGAAACTTTGTAATGCAAATGCTAAAAAATGTCTGGTCAAACAAAGCATGATTTAATGCAGATTTTATAAACACAATGTAACAAGAGGCATGCAACACACTATTGCGGTCCACAATGCACTCTGCTTGTTTAGCAAAGTGCTGAATGGCTGCATCCCTTTGTGTTTGTTGATGAATTAGTTCCTGGTGAGCATGCAGGCAAACAATAAAAAGGCATTGATAAATTGGAGGATATATTAACCATGCATACGAAATTGCTGTGTAGTTGCATAGAAAGGTAACACAAAAGTAAACATGGAAGTGAAACAATTTCAAATGTCATTCTGTTTATATAAAATGTCACATTCCCTAAACTTGAATAAAAAAAGAAGCCCTCATGAAAAACAAATGTCAACACTGTTCTGATAATAGTGAAACCAGTAAACATGCTCATAAGATCAAGCTGGCAAAGATGTATGTTAACCTTTCCGAAATGTCCAGGCGGTCACTGTGATCAAGCAGCATGGTAGCAATACTTCAAAAGTCGTTATGGATGGAGTATGAAAATATAATGCAAATAATAAAAATCTGATGCCATCAATGCAGTTTAAAGTCTTACATCAGTCTCTGTATTCCAGTGTGCTATAAGAAGCATTAATACTGAAATGAACATAATGAGGAGCTGATGGGGGGGAAAAAGAAATTCTGTCTTTTCAAAATAGTGTAGAAATGAGTGCTGTTACTGAGTTAAGTGTAAACTTTTGACCGGTATTCTGTGAACAAGTAACACAGTTTTAACTTATTTTCTTTCTTTTTTGCTAAATGGTATGCTTTCCCTGCAGAGAGAAGGGCTGGATATTTAGGAAAACAGAATTCCTAAAACATAACAAAGAATGAGGCAAATGAAAAATCACACTACTAGGAAGGAAATTACCCAAACCTAGCATACGGAATGCTGCTGCTGAGTCAAGCGTTCTGGCTAACTGTAACTAGAGATGTGCATTTCCAGTCTTGGTTGCTGAGTGATGGAAAATATTTGCTCTGTAGAGAGGGCTTTTCCATTTGAAATTTCTTTTTGAAACTGACTCAAGGAAATACATGGAATTCCTCTCCTCATCTATAGAATTTATTTTTTTGTTTAGATTGACTCATAGAAACTCTTGTTCCCTGTGCATTGTCATGATGAAATTGCAGAATTAAAGATCAGTTTGTCAAGTAGAATTACTTCAAATGCAGATTGGCTGTGTTCTGATCTCACCCAGTCAAAACACATTTCCTGTTTGTTTTTTTTCTTTTGCAGGCAAAACAGTTTCCTTCTCTACTTAGGATTCTGTTGTTACTGTTTATATAAAACATTAATGCAGACCTTGGATTGAAATTATTAAAATCAATCTACACTTTAAATACTGAAAATCTCTCTAAACATTTTGAAACAATGATCACTGTTTTTCAACAGTTTAAGGCTGCCAGAATGCTTTGGGGCAGAGACAGATATGATCCTGAAAGCAGATTATGTCAGCCAAGTTCAAGGACAGGTCAAGAATATGTGTATGCATAGCATTCCAGGTCAGGTTTTTCCAAACATAACTGTATTTTTCCACTCAGAAGTATTCTATTGGGTAGAAGCTGCTGCATTCTGCCTTTCTGAAAGTACTACCCAAGAAGCATGCATGAAACAAGAAGTGAAATAGGACTACATAGTTATTCCATGCATTCAACAATTTTGTTTTGATCTGAAAACATAGTGGCCACAAAGAAACCAGCTGTGTGAGGATAAAAACAATGGCTGGTTAAAAATTAGTGCAGTTTAAGTAGTCTTCTGATAGAGAAGAAAAAATATTTTCTAATTTATTAAATGATTGTATTGTCCTTTCAAGAGCTTTTATGAAGACTCTATCAGTAAATGAGTTTACAAGGGAAGTGGAAGTGGAACAAAGAAAGATCAATACTGTCAGCATCTGCAGAGCAGCCTGCTTTTATATCTGCCCCTGAGCGAGTATCTCCCTTTCACTTGACCTGGCAAGGATGTAGTTAAGAGCAGAACATGTACCTAATAAGTTTAAAATGAAGAAAAACAAATGTATGCAACATTATTCTGTATAAATTAGTTAAAAAATCCTTCTTTTTTTCAATTAGCCGCACTACTTTTTTGACGGTCAATAAAACAGGGGCCATAAGCCATTTCAACACTCAGTTTCTGTGGACGCATTTTCTTGCCTAGCTTTCTGCTCTTCTGTTGCACTGCCAAATGCTACTACTAAGTTAGTTACACTAGTGGCATGTCCTGGTCTGTTTAATTTGTCCTTTATAGACTTGGCTTTCCGAGAATGGCTGTGCAAACTCTTCGATCGTACTGATGGGAACCCAGAAGTCCTTTCTGGCTTTACTGATAACAAGTTCTCTGTCTGAGTTTTGACAGCAGCAGGCATAGAGGCGTAAGAGGCACTAATACCTGCTTCACCAACATCACTGTCATCATCTGTGTCCATTTGTAATTGTTTCTGTTCTGCTTGCCTCTCTGCTTCAGAGATAATACCTGGGTATTCCGGAGGACGTTCTTGAGAAAGTTGCTGCTGAACTTCATATTTCCACTCTGTAGCCCACTGCTCAATTGTTGAAGGGCACACCTGATCCATGATGGTACTATATTCTGTTGTCCAGTTGTTTACCCCTCCAACCAGCTTCCCACCCTGTGCAAATATAAAGCTCCTTGACTTCATCATAGTAGTTTGACAAGCACTGAATGTTTCAGGAGGAAAATAGCGCATTGCTTTAGATTTGTCCAAGGGATAAGAGATGGTTGCCTCTAACTTGGTACGTTCTACTTTCAGCTGAGTGTTCCGAAAATCTGATCTTGGTACCGATTGTCTGTTCATAACAACATCCATCTGGTTTAAACTTTGAGGAGCCATTTCATCCTTCTTGAAAATTCCTTGGTTTTCATCCCCTAAACCACCTGAGCCAGAATGGGGACTGGAAATATTCTGTGCAATATCTAATGCAGATCTACTGCAATCTGCTGGGGTCACTGCATTAGCATTAGAGGTATAATGGAGACTGGTATGGTGCTCTGGAACCAGCATCCTTGGGTCTGCTCCATCTTCTTTTGTACCAACAGAATGAGCTTTTTTACGTGATCCTATGGCTGGTGACATTGGAGCTGTGCTGTCATCATATGCTAACTCATCGCCACCAACATGATATCTGTACATGCTGTAGCCATCCGAGCTGTTGACACTGCTTTGCCTTAGGAGATACGCAGCATCACATTCAGATGAAGCCCGTGAACGTGTATACGTTAGCTCAGATTTGTCAACACCTGCCAGCTTCTCAAGAGCATTCACCATCCGACCAGATAGTTCTTCTAACTGAGAGAGTCGAAGGTCAACTGTTTGAAGAGAAGCTTTCATGAAATGTTCTCTTTCATTCACTTCTTCTAGCCTCATTGACATATTTTCAACTCTGTTGGATATAAAAGAGGAAGCATAAAACACACAATGGGGTGGTGCAGTAACCCATTATAGACACCAGCTACCAATTTCTTCTTATGGCAGAAATCTGTGCTATGTATAACTCATTACTTGTTCCTGTTTGTAGCACAGTGCTTGTGCATTTACTTTTTACCTGTGCTTTCCTCACACTATATTGGAGGGCTATTGGAGGGCACTTTGCCTTTATTTACATGCCAGGACAGTACAAGAGTTGCAGCCCTTTGTTAGAGCCTACTATTAAATTCCTCTCTGAGTGTGCCACCTGCTTCACATTCAGTTATCCTCTTTCACTGTGAAGCACCAGTTAATAATATGGAAAATACTTCTAAAGGCATGTTCACAGGATGACTTAAAATAGCATCAAGGCATGTTGTAAAGCAGGTTTTGTGGCTGTACAAAGAGAACACACGCTACTGTTTACAGAATTACTTTATGCCTTGAAATACCTTCCAATTACGGATCAGAGCAAAGGGGAGCAGAATTTATTTTCTTTTCCTTTATTTATTTTATCATTTAGTTCGTAATGGACTTGATGGTACTAGAAGAATGCATATAAAAGCCAGGCATTAGGATGTGACTTAGAGAACATACAGTACTAAATCAACTGTGGAAATTAAATTAACATTCTTTCTCTCTCGCACACAAAAGATGATGATGCATTTGGAGCAAGAAGCCATGAGAATTATGCAAATCTGGTTTGTGGCTACAAGATCATAGTGAATCAGTGAGGCTTACCAACCTTGCTTTATTCTCTCATACAATACCTAGGATTTTGACAAATTACCATAGATAGCGTAATAGAAATGAGTTGATGACACATAGCAGATTTCATTTACTTCTCTGTTCTCAAACTCCACATATAATATTGCAAGATGTTTACTGCTTCCCTTCAACAGAAAGATATTTATCTGCTTGGGAATTGAACGGCTTATGGAACAGCCTCATTAGAAATGTTAAAAGGAAGTGAGATACGTACATAGAGAGTGGTTCATAATTAAAGAAGAATACTGCAAGGAAGATTAAGGCAAAAATGTTTGAACTATCTACCATTTCCATTATAGGTATAGGAGAATTATGGGAGAATTATAAGGAGAATTATTCATCATTTCAAGGAGGTGATAAGAGACCTCATCTCCTGAGTTACCAGAATAGGCAGAGCCTTTGGGAACAGTTCTGCCAAATCATATGACACAAAAGTGCTGCTGCCATTGTAACTATTTGATTTCACATCAATATGCAAACATTACCCAGTCCTCAGAATAGGATTATCCCTCATTATTTGCACTTGACTATTCCCTGTCTTTTAGATGAGGAAGTCCATATAGAAAAGCTCAATGCCTTGTTCAGATCTTCTAAGAGACTATCTGGCAGAGGATCAAATTTGGCTGTTCTGAATGCTGGACTGTAGTCTGAATCATAGGTATCAGTGAAGAACTCCCAGTACTTTTGTTATTAAGCTCCACCATGTTTATTACAATTGAATGAGCTGCTGGAATCTGAACATGTACTGTTTTGCTCAAGCAGATAAGCAGCATAACTGTGATCTTAGCTGGGTGAGAGGGAAAAAATAACTCTGAACAAAAATGTTCTTACACCGAAGATACCCAAACCAGCAGCCTTAGTGGTATGCCATCAGGAGCAACAAAAAGCTTGATTTTGTGAGAGATGCATCTGCACTGACATTTACCTGGGATTATGATTCTGAAATAGTGGTGGTTTTCTTAAAGATCTGAAGCCATTTGCACTTTAGGTGAACTTTGCTTATAACGAGGTTCAAAAAAGCAATATATTGTTCCAGACACGGTCGGGCTTTTTGTTTGTTTGTTTGTTTTAAATAGGTACCTTTCAGAGGTAACTCTGATGCGTTCATCATTAGATGATTGCTGCTCATCCTCTTTTTCCTGAAAGTATTCTTCTACACACTGCTCTTCAAACTCGTACAGCTTTTTTAGCTCTTCATCATTTAGAAATAACTCTGTGAAACAGAAGAAAAAAATACTAATTTTCTTTTCCTGAAAATCTGTCAGTCAATTTAAATCCAATGTAATTGGCTATTTCAGACAGATGGATACTGCAGGTTCCACTCCTGCACTAACTGAATAGGTGATTTTGTAGATATGAAATGAGTACTTGGCCAAAATGGCTGTGGCTCTGAAAGCAGTGTGATGCATTGTGACTATAATCTTCTTCTATGACCATCCACTCTGCTATATTTTCTCACAGACCTTTGAACTGTTTAATAGTAGTGCTACATTTTGAACAAACTGAGCAGATTTTACTGGGTAAGGCAATCTTTGCCAGCTTGATTGTTCCTTAATTCAAATATTGCTCATAAAGCATGCCAGTTACAGGCAAAAGATAATCCGATGTAACAGTTTCCCAGACATTCTTTGGATAAGACATTCAAAAAGTTAAAATTGAGTTAAGAAAATCCAAGGGAAACATAAGCTCTTAGGAACATTTTATCCTTGTCTTGGATTAGTCTCTTTTTATTTGTAGGAACTGTTATATTTACATTTCTTTCCTCAGTTTTTTTCCCTTTTTTAAAACCAAAAGCATATTGTGCAAACATATAATTAATTACAAGGTGTATTTCCTGTGAAATGCAGAAATATAGGAGTCATTGTGAGCGTCTGATTATCTCAATGAGGTACATAATGAAAAAACAATAATTGCAGAGAATGTTAGCAGTAGAATGCTCACATCCTCACAGTTCTGTGAAATGACAGATAAGTCTGTAATATGGAGAAATGAAAGTGGTGCTACACAGATTGCTCACAATCACAAGGTTGAATGTAGAGATGACATTTGAAACTGTGGCCTCTTCTTTTCAGGTTCCTATTTGCCTCCTACGGTGTATGAACTTTACAAGCACTTGTTGAAAATGGATTAAGTGGCTGCCATGTCATTATTGAAAAGAAAGTGTTCATTAGCAGCACAGCATCACATATACCTAAGGAAGAGGTCAACAGCTGTTAACCTGATATAAAAATTGTCCCATGCTTCCTCTGCAAATACATCGGAGCATAAATGTGAAGGAAATTAATACTTGTCATTGGAATAGCTACTCCTTTCTGCTATCATGTGCAAAAAGCTCTATTCAGAGAAGATTCACTGCATACTCAGCCCCCTGTCACGCTCATCCTGGTCTCCTTCACGCTTCTTGCAGCGACAGCAGACTCGCTTGATGATTATGTAGAGGTGGCTGAAGATAATCATTGGTGGTGGGAGGACAGGTCTGTCATGGAATGTCATGATCAGCTGGTACCGCTGGAACTTCCAGACTTGGTTGGATATTGATTTTACTTCAAAGAAGGTATTGCTGAAAGAGGACAGGTGTAATTTCCATTAGGCCTCCAAGTTTACTTAACATTTAACAAGAACTACATTGAAAAAAGAAGAAAGTAAATAGCAAAATGATGCCACACAACTTGCTTGGTTCAACTCTTCGTCAAGGCAGCTGAACTTGCTGAAGATTAAGCTAAACTCATTATTTTACTACTCCTTTTGAAGGCAGCACAGCAGGTGCTCCGCATCCCTTATGCACCACCCAAAAGAGTCCTCTTCATTTTCTTCTACCATATAAAGCATTTTAGCTGTCAGTTAAGACAAACATGCACAATTTATAGTCAGATAACTAGTATTTTGGAGCTTGGTTATAAAGTACTTCTTCTATTAATATATACTCATATTTGATATCACAGAAAGTATTAAATCCATGAAAGATATTTTCCACTCTAAACCCAGAAGAGTCATATCTTTTTCTTTTAACATGTTAATCTGCTTGACCTATACAAAACACTTCTCAAGTTTTTAAACAAAATGCCCTAAATTTAAACTTTGTTCATTTAGACTTCTAATTTGAAAATATTGCATATTCTTTTAAAAGGAGTTGTTTGTGGGAGTTACAGTTTCATCATTTCTACATCAGAATGAGTTTTACTATAAAGACAACCTATTAGCAATTCAGTGAAGGAATAGAGAACTGCATCCAATCCAGAGACAACAATATTCAACGTTACAAAATGCAAACTAAGAAAATTTGGAAGTTCTGTCTTAGATAATGTTTTTCAAGCTATTTTAAAATATGCTAGGACAGTTCTCTTCTATGATGATTCTGACACTTCCTCTTCTTATCTTTTCTATTTCTTTTCTAACTTTCTGTGCTTTGGAATATTCACAAAACCAGACATGACACTTCTTCAAAAACGGAGAATTCTTGATTGCACAAAGCACTCCATTTCTTTTGGCTAAGAATATGAGATAACTTACACTGATAAATGACAATCTGACTTCATTATGTGTCTCCTGCACAGCAAGAATTCCCCAGCTCCAAGTCGCCCCGCTGCAACCGTGCTAGGATAGCAGGAGTTAACAGCATGACCTACTTCTCAAACTGCTGATTCCTTCCTCTCTTCAGCCAATAATAGTTACCATTGTAAGATGCTTCCCCTTCCCCCTAGCAATGTGACTGGCATTTGGGTACTTTAAAATTCATGACCTTTTAAGCTAAATACATCAAATGAAAGACAGGCTTTGTGAGCTGTAGCTTTCTGGGCACAAAATGAACTATTTTTGTGGTTGTGATGCCCATTACCTATGCCAGCAAGCCCTGCAACGCTGCATATTTATGGGAATCAAAATGGAATCACCTGCTTTTCTCAATAGGTGTTTTGGGAAAATTTTACTAGCAAAGAGATGTATTAATTGTTCCTATTTGTATTTTCCAGTACCTAGGTCATTATAGGAAATGCATGTGGCATAACTGTTGCATATAACTGTTGGCAGAAAGTACAAGCAGTAGCAATGCATTTAGGTTTACTCCAGAAAATTCTAAGCATGGATTTATGGAATGATGTTATGAATTTGCACAGTTGCACGTTGGTTGCACTGCCATAAATGCAGCCACAGATTTTGGTAAAATGTACCTATCTTTTCTCTTGGTTCCAGGTAATATACACTCCTTTCCTGGGAGATATAGGAACTCTGCAAGGCTTTCATTTCTTTTTCTCTAAATTAGAAGCAAAGTAAGAAGAAAACAAAGGAAAAGAAGCAGATGATGCATGGATGCAGCGGAAACATCTCTTATTTTTTATGTTCAGATTTTCATTCTGCAGATCTACGGTAGAATCATGTTTGCCTGTGGTTGCAAGAGTTCTATCACATATGTAGGTTTAGTGGATTCAGTTTCATCTTTACAAAACAATCTTGAAGCCTGTCAGTAACCATTAGACCCTAATTGTAAGTACTCATTCTCTCATACACATCACTGCAAATCTGTACCAAATTTTCTTCTGCTCTTTCAGAGTGTGTAGACCATTCCAAATATTTACTAGTCATGTTCATAGAGAAATTTTGAGTGTGAATGCAAGGCATTGCAAAATTAGTTGACGGACTCTCATCGAAACTTTATCTTGACAATAAGAAATTAGTGCATGATTTACATACTTGAAGACTGCAATCAGCAGGTTTACCAGCAGAATATTTGCTACCAAGAGGTAACAAGCCATAATAGCGGGAGTGAGCCAGGCCCCTGGTATGCACGGAGGGAGACGTTTACCATCCTCATCGTAAAGATTGTCTCCACAAGGAGCTGAAAAAAGAGAGGAAAGGTATTTACATTTCCTGACACTTGAGAACAGACTCACTTACTGATGACGCACATGTAAAGTCTACCAAACCAAATAAATTTTGTCAGTTTATTTCCACTGGAGAGTATGTATAATTTCTAGTCCAAATTCTGCTTCTAACAACACCATGCAAAAATTATTTCACATAATAATGAATGGTTACATGGCTTGAGATTTAGCGCACAATGTATCTTCCTCTTCAAATTGACAAGGCTTTTTTTTTTCCACAGTGACATTATAGGACAAGATCTTGATGTGCACATGTATAATTTCATACCAGCATTTTAAAAACATCTCCGACTAAACTTGCGTGCGTATCTTTTCAAATGCATAAATGGATTTATTTTGTGGTTCAAGATTGCTGAATGTGTATCAGGCCTTCATCAGAGCTCTGAGTGTTTAAGTAGGCCCTAACTACCCTAAACAGCTTCTCTGAGGTCTACACCTACACGCCCTACACATATCTGTCCTTGCCCAAGCTGCATCAGATGTGCAGGCATCAGATTTTTCTCATGGATGGACTTTGGACCTATACTTGTCTCCTGGATAAAACCTTTTGTTTCAACCCTGTCTTCTCTCACTGCAACCTGAACTCCCTACCGAGGCCCTGGATTATTACTTGCCTCATCTTGTTAGCAATTAGCAGCAGTCATCTCTGAGAGACCAGGTCGCCCTGGAGAGGGCATTGCTCACCCTGGGTCCCTGCTCTTTCTTACCTTAGGGCCAGCCCTGCTCCTGTTGCTTCCTGGCAGATCTAAGCTGCAAATCTGCCCTGAATACCGAGTACTGCTACACAGACAGAAATTGTTTATGATTAAAAAACCCTTTATTTTTTCACTTGAAAAAAGTCGTGAAGTTGTATGCAGTTATTAACTTGTTCTTGAGTAGAAAACCTCAGTTTCTCATCTTTTTATGCCCACTTTCTTTATTATTCACAATCATAATTTTATCTTAAGGAGAGTATAAAAGGGAAGTCAAATGAATCATAATATTACTCATGTGGACCAATGAAAGTAATACTAAAAAGCCACCAATACAATACCTGGATAACCGGAAGGAATTATTTATAACATGACAATCATGCATGATAATTTTTAAAAATGATTACCTTACTGGCAATCCACTAGAAACAAATCATAGCAATCACATAAGCTTGACTAAAACTTTTGATGTGCAACATATATTACGACAGTTTTCCCCTTCTTTTCAGATAAAACTATTTTGGTAGCAAAACAACTCACACATGAATATCAGATGAATCCTATAATTAAAATGTCTAGTGAAGATCTAGCATCTAGTGAAAAGATTAATGAACACATTCAGCTAAATGAGATAATCAGCTCCCCAAATAGACTTACGATTGATTTCCATGGCATAGACTGAATTGCAGCATTCCAATGGAAGAAATGAAAAAGGAAGCAAGGAGAGAAAGAAAACAATAGAATAATATAGGGGGGAAAAAAAAAAAAGAAAAAAAAAACAACAAAGAAGATGATTGAAAATATAGTTTTGCTGCCAAGAAAGTATAAAAAACTCAAATGTCAAAACAGTAGAGACATATATTTAGAAAGAATGTCTATGTTAAAACTACCTGTATATTGTAATTTCCTTTTCATTTTGTGTTCCCCAAATGTTACACATGGCAGCAAATTCATGACATTAAAATAAACCACAAAATGCTGATGGCAGATGATCATTTAAACACACAAAATATTTCAGGCAACCAAACAAAATTGATAGTCACCACAAACACAAAACAACTCAAAGTTACCACATGAAAACATTGTTTCAGCTATTAAGGAAACATTTCTCACTTTTATTATTGTTATTTGAAGGACCATCTTAGCTTTGAGTTCATTAGCTGTTTCTGTTGAATAGCTAAGTTTCCATTAATAGTCATGAAACTGATGTCATTACAGTACAATATCGCTAAAGCTCATTTAGATGGCAGTATGGATACTTGCTCCCCAGCCCCTAAATAGTGACTGTAAAAAGAATCACAGCATTCGAAGACTCCCAACTCAGAATATGTTGCTGTTGAATAACACTAACTTGTTGATCATGGACATCTTCTGAATGGAGTGAATCAGACTGAAGGCAGCATTAAGAAAAGCATTACCAGCAAGTGGAGGGAGGTAGTTAGTCCCCTCTATCTACCTTGGTGAAACCACATCCATACTAGCATATGGACATTACAAAGAATGTAGAGAATATCCTGTGTACACTGTTCAGAATATACGCAGCTCATTGAAACAGTGCTGGAATTGCAGCTTGTATTGTTTCAGATAAAGTGCAAAGTGCATTATGCACACTAAAGAAGGCCACCTGCATGTCTGAGTGTACAAATTTCAAACACTAACACAGAACTATCAGTAACATGACAGTGGCAATGTCCATCTCCTCAAAAACAGACCTTTTTTTTTCTTTTTAAACTGTGCAGCTTTTGTACATAAAATGCTATTTCCACAGCTGAAGCTGATCAAGCTGATTATTTATTTATTTATTTATTCTCTTCCACAGAGAAACATGATTGATTTGTGAAACTGAAACATTTCTGGAAAAATTGGTACATGTACCCATGCTAATACAATTGTGGACTCTCATTGCTTGTGCTACCAGCTGGAGATGAAAAACCATGTTACCTATTTATCATATCTGTTTTTGGCTCCTGTGCAAGGTATTCATTTTTTTCATTTTAGGTGGGAACAGTTTCTTAGTAAAATATTAGTTCAAGAGAAAGTTTAAGAATGATCTCTGCTTATTTCTGCAAGTAAACAGAACATTTAATACTGTTGCCCACCAGATAGGCAAATATTCCAGACTATATCACATTCAGTGTGAACTGAACTGGAATTTTTGGTTAGAGGCAGGACATGCATGTGGGAAATAAAAAATTCATTAGTCTCTGGAGTCTGTCACAAGAAAACCCTCAAATGGACAAATACACTCTAATTCCAAATTAAAAGCAAACATTAATTTGGGTCTGATCATCTGCCTCATAAACAGGAAACAGAATCTTACTATGAATTCTACTCTTACGGTCTATCTGGTCTGCGAACACCTCTCCATAGATCATCCAGTAGGGCATATAGAAGATGTTCCGAGCTAGTCTCCAAGAAGGCTCCTCATCTGGGTGCAGGATTGCTTGGCGTGCTACTCCAAAACTCATCAGAACCACAAGCATGATGACCACAAAGTAGAGCATGTCAATCATCTGCACAAAGAGACCATACAGATGTTCCTATCATCACCAGTTAGTACAGCGACATCAACGTATCTGTTTGCCAAAGTGCTGTAAAGTGAGCAAGAAAAGTATCACACATTTTCCTGGATAATTTTCCTGATGTTGATCTTCAAATTTAACTACTGCTCATGAGATAAAAATACGTAAGAAGGCAAAAAGAAGTCATTTAAAGAAATAAAGGTTCTGTATTTTTATAAAAGACTTAACAAGGTAAAAAAAATTTGTTATCCCTATTCTCTTTTCTATCAAGTGCACTTTGCTCTGCTTTCAGCACAGTTTTTCTGTGGTGATAAGGAGGTGGCAGTCTTTGCTGTATAATTTACTAACCATCTTTCCAATCATCATGACGTAAGGTCCCAGATATTTGTTCACACCGAAGATATCTAGTACTCTAATGTACCAGAAAATTATATCTACACAGTAAATTACTCTTCCATAACCCATGTAAGGCTGGTTCTGTAGGCGAAGAACTGCTCCTATCATAAATACTGAAATAGCCACCAGATCAGTAATATTCCAGTATTCCTGGAGCCAAACTTTCACTTTTTGACTCAGCTTTCCAGGCTCTGACATGAGAATCTGAAATAAAAATTAAGAAAGACATAATTAAGAAAAATGTGAAATAACATTTCTGAAGTCATAAAAAAAAAATAAAAAATCAATCAATCTTGTCACATTCTTCTCTGTCATTAGAGACCTCCCCTATTTGCAGCAAAATTTGCCTTATTCTGAAAAGAATCCTCCAGAGGGCTACAAAGACAACTAGAGGTGTGGAGGATCTCCCTTATGAGGAAAGGCTGAGATATCTGGAACTGTTTATGCCAGAGAAGAGAAGACAGAGAAGATCTTATTAACACTTAAATATCTAAAGGGCAGGAGACAAGTGCATTGGGCCAGACCATTTTCAGTGGTGCCCAGAAAGAGAAGGGGCAATGGGCACAAACTGGAACACAAGAAGTTCCATTTGAACATGAGAAAAAGTCGTCAATTTGGGGGTTACAGAGCACTGGAAAAAGCTGCCCAGAGAGGTGGTGAAGTCTCTGGAGATATTCAAAACTCACATGGACTATTTCCTGTGAAACCTACTGTAGGGATCCTGCTTTAGCAAGGGTGTTGGACTGGATAATTCTTTTCAAGGACTAAGAGATGTAAGTATGACTATACTTTACCTCTCTTACTTTCTCTAAAGCCAATGTCACAATGTAGGAGATGACAATCCATTCCTGGACAGATGGCCACCGTTCCATCCGCACCAGGATGATATAGTTAAATAGCATCAAGTAACCCAGGTATGATATCTATAAAAAAGAAATCCTTTTTAGACTTTTGTGGCATCCACATGAACGCATAGGCTATGCATGACAGTTTCAGGTGCTGAAGGCCTACTTGTGAAAGGAAAAAGTTTTTCTTCTCTGAAGAAAGCGTGCTTACTGCAGTGCTCTTGCTACTACAGCTGGCATGCAAACTGGTAGAGGCCATGGGCCTCCAGCAGCGTGGTATGATTCAGGCAGCTGCTTATTCGTTGAAATAAGCAGTACAATGCCAAAACATTCTAAATCAGGCCCCTTTTCCCTGGGGCATTTTTGATATACTACAATGTAATTTCTTTACTCCATGAAATCGTGTTTAATACTTTCATTTGAAATTCAGTAGGAATTTATATTTTGAATTATTATCACTGACTTCAGAAAAATAGATAATTATTCAGTGTGCTAAAACAAAAGAACCCGTACATAATACAATGACATACAAGATACCACAAGTGCTAACTTAGCATAAAATGAAAACAGTATCCTTCATGTAGGGCACACACAAAATTCAGCAGTAGCAAGAATATTTAGTTTTTATTAAAATGGAAATATTTCTTGATGTGCTAAAAAGAAAATGAGATGATTGTAGTTCAGATTGGCTTTAATTACTTAAACAGGAGAAAAGAATTCATTAAGCCTTAGGGACCTAAGGCTAAGTGCTTCCATCAAGATTGTATTTGACAGAGTGAATGGCAAGCACTGATACTGCAGCATTGTTTGTTGGGTTCTACAGTATATTTTAAAGCAGAACAGGATCCAAAGCCTTTAGAAAGCAAGAGGATCTAAACTAGCTTGGAGTGAGTGACTGAACCGTGCAGCCTCCTTTAAAGTGTGTTAGAGCTTTAGGAGCTGACAGCATAAGCTACAGTTATTTGTTCTATTTCACTCTATTTTTCTCTAAATAAAGAGAGTGCTTTACTCATCAGATTCCATGAAAATCACTGTTATTTATGTTTTATGTGGTTATTATTTCTACATCGCTATTAAAACTTTAACTTTCATAGGCGTGAGAAAAGTGATCACTATCAGTTTAATCACCAGACTTACTGTGTAGAACCAAAATTTGACAATAGGAGCATTATAGAATTCATAGATCTTTGTTCCAATTGGAAGGCTGTTTTGCTTTTTATTTGCATTCTCTTCATCCCCTTTCCGGGAACCTGTGTCCACGTTTGCATCCTAGAAGACCACAGTTGTCAGTTTACACCAATACACACATCAAACACAGTAGCTTTTCTCATTTATAATATCAACCACTAATTACCAAATGCTTCCTCTGAGCAACAGATCTCCTGTTGACTTTTTAAAAATACAAAAACTATGAACTATAGTAAATCTGCAAATATGCAGATAATTTGCACCCTGGGAATCCAACCTATATACTCTTTGCAGAACCAGTTGACATTTTATCCAAAATGACCCACAGCACAGAGAAACTTAGGAAACTTAGCATTCTTACAACCAGGAGTTACAACCTCCTGATAAACTCCAGTACTGACCACATTTTCCTCCTCCTTTTCTTTGCCTTCTTCATTTTCTCGTGATGTCTGGTAAGAATAATCATCATAACTGCGGAACTCTAGGAAAAGGATGGTTGGAGGGAAGAGAATCCCCATTATAACCTGTTCAATAAGAAAGAATTCAACTCAGACTGCAATATTTATTTAAAAACTAATAGATTTCACAAAAAGGCAAATCTGATAACCAATTTTTTCTTTTGCATAGCATTCAAGATACTCTCCTATCTCCAAACCTACAAAAATAACATAGGTAGTAGCAGTAGTTAAGAAGCATAATCAATAACCTGTCAATTGAAAGACTCCATTTTCATGAATCCACTGCACATAAGAAATTGTGCTCCAGAATTAGAGTTGACCAGAGAAATGAAACAGTAGCAGTTGACAAAACGTTTCATGTTTCTTACTGGACTTCACAGTTACTTTAGTCAACTGCTGTAATCATAATTTTTAAAGGTAAAAAAACTTGTGAAAGTATAAGGAGCTGTGCAGATAGCACCCAGAGAGTTCTACTTTATGAGAACAGAGATATAAAAACACAGGCATAATTACAGAAAAAGAGTTAAAGAACAGAGGAATGCAGGTAACAAAACTAGAACATCAGCAGATGATAGCACTGTCATGGTAGGTCTTTACCAGGATGACAGCAGCTACCTTATAGAACAAAGAAGAGTATATTCACATACAAAGTCTCACACATAACAAACACTGCTCTGCTTCCATAACAATGGCTCACTCATATTTGTATTTTGTGACAGACTTCTCATATTACTCTTTTCTAAATTTTTTCTGCAGATCCACTGATCAGGAAATACAAAAATCAGTACAAGGTGCAAAGTAATTGAATCACAGAAGAGAATAAAAATCACACGATTTCACACATCGTGATTTCACACATTTCATTCTTATCAAAACTGAATCTTAATTTTGGTCTTCTGGAGCAATATTAAGCAACACTCAGAAGAATCTGTCCAAGTACAGATTCTTTTCTCTCTAACCCCACTGTGCATATCCATAGAGACGATACTTTTGCTTCTACTAATTAATTTTTAATTAGTTTCATGTTTTTAATGAACAGATTTTATCATTCATTGAAAGCTACAACTTTGCTTTCAGATCCAATCATATTAAGCTTTTCATAGATCTTTTTCATAGGTCATTTTCCTTTGTCCTGGTATGTTGTTCCTTAGACTTCCTGAGCTTGGGAAAAAAAAAAAAAAAAAAAAAAAAAAAAAAAAAAAAGGAGATTCAAAACAGAAAAGATTCTTAAAGCACCTTTAATTAATAAGCCATTTTTTCTATGCATACACTATATATAATATAGCGTTAAGTGCAACAAAGTGTGTCTTTGAAAGTAAATGCAGAACAGAAATACCTTAAGGCCTGGGTTTTTTCGCATACGTAGTCGCCCCATCCACATATCTGTTAAGAGCATCTGGCTGCACGTGTGAGCAATGAAGTCCCTGTGTTTAGCTGCCACAGCCAGCTTCAGGCAGGTAGAATTACTCCAGTTTTTTAGTTCGTAGGTCAGTAGTTTCATGGCAATCTGCTCATCGTGTTTGTAGGACTGATCCAAGAGTTCAACAGCTAGCTGGCCAAAATCTCTGTAACATGCAAGATAAGTCGGTGAAGTTTGATTTGGAAATCTGTGTTTGCTTACAGTTGGGATTTTCATTCCGTTCATATGGGGTTATGTTTTTCTGTACACAAGGACAAGAGCAATAGAATCTCAGGCTTGATTTGGGATAGTTTACAAAAGTTCCAAACAAATTTGGAACTAGAGAGAATTAGCTTAGACCAAACAACATCTTAAGACCAGTTTACCTAGATCATCAGATGGCCCTTAATTCATATGAGCACACCCTCAAAATAACATCGTGAAGTAAAACTAGCTAGTTTTATAGAGAGAAAAGGTGAAGAAAGAATATGCACTGCCAGAAAAACACAACACAAATCTTCTTGCTAGCATTACCTTTAGACACTGAGCCAAAAGTTTGGTTTGTTTACTGTTGATAAACATGCTCCAGACTGCATTCTTTGAACCTGCAGTCTGGAAATTAACTGTAATCTACTAAAAATCAAGCTTCTCAGCAGGTCAGACCATTTCCTGTGTCAGGTAGACATGTACTCTGTACTCTGTACTCTGTAACTACTAACTTTGAGTTGTTGTCCAGATCCTGAGAGATGTCATCCACCAGTTCACTTTCAGAAGACTCATGCGCCATAGATTTGTACAGCTTACAAGCAACAAGTGCTTTGGCCATAGTTTCCTCCCCTCGTTGCCAAAGGAAGAGTGCCATCTTTTGCCTTTTCATCAGCACGGCCCATAACATCAGTTCATGAAATGGATACTGAAAGCGGCTCACTTCTGGGTCGTCCACATCAATATCAATCTCTTCCTCTTTTTTCTTCTTCTTCTTCTTTCCTTTCATAGGAGGCTCATCATCCTGGGAAGAAAACAAGAAAAATTCTTAATACCAATCTTTATCATCTGATTTGATGACACCATGGACTAAATGCATATCGAGAGGTTATGACATTAATAGTTGCGCCTTTTTTGTTGCTTGCTTTTATGCCAGTGGAAATAAAAATATGACAAACATGTGACCAAGCATACTTAACACAGGTTAATGTTTTATTCAGAGAACCATTTTTTACAGACTTAATTAGAAGTTACTTCTCCTAGATACGTACAGTAGAACTTTATTGTTCTGAAGCCTTCACTTCACACTGCATTGCAAGCGGATCTCTACTGCATGTGTAATTGCATCAGTGGAGTGATAAGGAATTAGTATTTAATGAATTCTTCTGCAGTGCAAATGGAGCTTTACCAAACCTGAATTCACTATAAAGGTTCTACTCTTAAGTTTTTATTTGATATATCTGTATCCATTCTTGAAGAATAGTTCTGCATATCTTACAGGTATCAAAGCAGTATTCAGACTGACACGCAGGTAGAGAGAGTGGTTAACATGCAAAGGGAAAAAGGCAGGCAGACAGCATTCTTAAGAACAACAAGATACTTAAGGGAGTGTTCACCTTTGAATAAGCAATCTCCTCTTATGTATGCTGTGCAAACAGAAGGTAAAGTATCCTGTTTCTTAAAGGGATAGAGAGGATGGGCCATTACTACAGGAACCAACATGGGAGTAACTGAAGGGAAGTACTGACAATGAAGCAGGATCCTGAAGGGAGAAAAACCATGATTGGGTAAGTAAGGGTTTAAATTATGTAGGAAGAACATTGCATTTATAGGTGTAGAGAGAGAGCTGATCACCATTGTAGGCCTTGATTCTGATCTCAGAAGAGGACTGCAATTAAATCCCATCCTACAGAACTAGATGATCTTAAAGATCCCTTCCAACCCAAACCATTCTTCAATTCTACAATTCTATGGATCAGTTTTTGTTCATATAAGTAATCTCAGCCTAATAGTCTCAGCACTGTTTTATTACAACGAACAAACTTAAACCCAAATTTAGGCTTCAGCCTTACTCCTCTGGTTTCCGAACAAAACTCTTCAGCTCAACATTTAAATAAGCGTTTCTCTTTCAGCATTTCTAAGAACTGCAAATGTTGACCTCTATTTCTTACAAAAAATTTAGGGGGTCCTAAACTGCATGCAAGTGAATAAAGTGAAGAAGAACAGAACATAAAATCTCAAATGAAGGGCCAAAAATGAGGTCCTCCCCACACTAGGAATATCAAGTCAAAAGGAAACCCTGGGTGGGAAGGACAAAGTACTAATGAGTCTAAACTTCCTGTTTTAAAGCTTTTAACTCTGGAACCAAAAAACAAAAAAATGGAGATGCATCAAATTACTGACCTCTTCAACAACAGAAAAATTGATTTTTCATTTCAACTTTTCTTCCTCTTGGAAGAAGGGAGTAAGCTACACCCACTATCAAATGGAGAGAGTGCTTCAATTTGTGCCATATACAGTATTGCCCACTGGAAGAAACAGGAAAAATCAAAATGTGCCTTTAGGGAAGCACTAAGTAGCCTACTTGTGATCAATACTAATCAAACAGGTCTGCACTACAGAGGTGCTGAGCTTTTGACTTTCATCTGTCAGACAATAGGAAGTTGATCACAGAGATTAAATACAGCTTGGACTTTGTAGAGAAGAAAGCTGCTTATCTGCTTGGGGAAATAGAGGCTTTTGTGTGCAGGTAGAGTACATGTTGAAGGTAACACAAGCAGTATGTACATATATTGAGTTCAAACGCTATGAAAGCATTAATATATGCTTTATGTGCTGTATACTTCATAGAGAAAAGTCCCTGGACTCTGTATGCAAGTACCCTCCCACTGTATATTAATACATTTTTCAGAAAAAATAGAAGCATCTGCCTCGGTGATGAGCTTTGAGGCATCATCTCAGAGTTGATCTTGATCAATTCAAAATTTCTGCAGGCACACAGGTAATTGAGGCAGGGTTTTGGTTCAGTTCCATCTCATATTTGCAAAGCACAGTGCCATCACTGCTAGCAAAGACCTTTTTTTAGTGGAAAAGAGCATTTAACATGCTACAACACAACACACAACTTTTTTTTTTTTTACTCCACTTAAATGTTGTCTCTATGATAAAACCTCATTTGTGTATTAATTATTACTTCGTGGTTAAAGGAGATTTGCCTACAGATAGTACTGCTGGGAAATACTCTTCCTTCAATTTCACCAATGTTCATGTTTGAATTGTTTAATCTACAGTACATTCCAGCAAATAACGTGTTATTATATAATAGTGCTGAAAACTGCCTACAGATTACTAAGCAAAGCTTTAAGCAGCTCTGAGGACCATACCAACAAAAAAAAGTCAGAAATACTTCATAGGCTGCTTGCAAAACAGCTCCTCTCTAGCTGCAATTTACTTTAAGCCACAGCAACACTGAAGAAGCTAAGAGCAAGAGCACAATTGTACCAAGAAACACACTGATAAAACCAGTATTTTACAATAAAACCAACTTACCTCCATCCCTAGTAGTTTAAGAGCTTTTGGCTAAATATTAAAATAGAAAAGAAAATTAGTTAGGAGGGAAAATTCAAAGACTAAAAAATGCAAAGGAAAAACACATTTTGATTAAACTTACTATTCTAAATAACTGTATCAATAATGGTACAATTAACTAATCTTCTCCTTAATTGTATTTGCTGGAAGACAATGGGTTAGAAATTTTTTTCCATCCTGCACTCAGTTGAAATCTTTTGATTAAGTTGGAAGAGTTAAATGAGAACAGAAGTCATTAAATTTTCACAAAAAGTAAAAAATAAAATAAAAATGATGCTTCTGAACAGGGTAAATGTACTCATGGGAAACATGAAAAAAAAAAAGAAAAATACAACACATCTTCAAATCTTTTCCATAAAAATATTTCCTCTGTTCTATAATGGAATCTCTGATTTACATTTTCCGTAAAAGGCTTAATTGTATGGTCAATTAGGTAGTACTATATATATACATATATATATATACACACATACAGTATTCTGACTACAGAATAGATTACTTTGGGGTTTGAGTAGCCTTCTGATCATTTCAAGCAGTTGCTTTTTGTAAGCAAGCTTCACTTGATCTCCAAAAACCCCCAATTCAAACAAAAAAAAAAATTAAGTAAGTTAATGAAGAGAATTATTCTAATTGCATAGAATAAAATGTTTAACAAGGGTCCATGCTTGGTATTCTCATAATTGGTCTATGACTCTGAAATGTTTACTGAGATTGCAGTGGTTTCTGTAGAATAAGGTTTATGTTCATAGCAGTTCCTTATAGGGACTTACTTAATTATTTGGAAAACAAACCTGATGCAACCAATAGAATTTACAGTTCAAGTTATAACATCAAGCTACAACTTAAAGAAGGAAGAAGTAAATACACAGGCAAGGCGGTTAGAAATAGTTGGGTAGTAAACTACTTAAATAGAAGGCAGTTCACCTCCAGATCAAAGTATTTACCATCTGCTGGCTGCTTCTATTAACTAAAGTGTTTTATGGGATCCTTACATAACTGTACTACTAGAAGTTCAACATCAGTCTTACAGCATTTCTTTAGCATTGGACATGTAGTATTTCACAATCATGAAGGAACAGAGCACTGGTTGTTTTTACCATCAGCATGATGGCCACATCCAGAATTAACTCATTCTTACCCTCTTTGGTCCAAATAAATTATTATAAAGAGTCCGAAAACTTTTTCTAGTATAGTTGCAGCGATAAGCTCCACCCATGAGATATTCAAGTACAAGACCAATATCTATTAGGCTGATATGATAATCTGGTGGAAGATTGCCCTACCAAGAGCAAGGAAACAAACAAAAGAACAAAATAAGAATTTAGAGCAAGAAAAAATAACATACATGAAATTTATATTGGTGCAGCAGTAATATTTATAGATACTTGTCTCAGTCTCTGATTATTTATACAAAATTAATGAGAACCAATTCAAATGATAGATGTTTGGGGAACAGATTGAATTTTTGGAAGTATTTATAATTGAGGACAATTTTTCATTTGTAATTTACTTGTACATTGTATCAGTATCAATACATGTCCCAGTTGTTTGCAAGAGCTAAGAGATTGGTGAAGTCAATCTTTATGTCACTCTTTATACTGACCATTATTAATCCAACATAAAAGTATGATTTGCTTAATTTCATAATGAAGATCAGACACACTCTACAATTTATAAAAATTTGCATTTTGCCACAATATTACCTACAGAGTTAAGAATACAATTCAGATAATGATTTAGATTTATACGTAGCCCAGAATTAAAGAGAAAAGCCTGTAACTTCCACAATCACGTATAAGAGCTAGATAGTTGCATTAACTCTTCTAGAAGCATAAGCTGAAAACTGCTTTGTTGTTTGATCTATATCCTACAACAGGAACTCATTCTACAACACCACTGAGCAGTAGCTACAATGAAAGAACCATATCCTAAGCAAACACATCACCTCCATGTTAACCCAACTGAATCCCCGAGACTGCCGCTGAATGAGTGAGCCATGAAAATGCAGTGAAGAGACAGACAGAAAGCAGAATGCAGAAAAGCATTAGTGACAATCAAAAAGACAAACACCAAATGAGGTAAGTTTAACTGTGTAGTGTGTCAATACGAATTATGCATCAACTCAGTACTGCATTGATTCCCACATTTAAATCTCCATGGATAAATGGGAGTTTCCTTTCAAAAAAAAAAAAAAAAAAAAGGAAGACTATTCCTTGCAGTTAAATTTTATGAAATAAAAGCTCCAAAACCTCAATGAGAGTAAATATATAATCCTGTCATAGATAATGAACTAATGAGCATGTAGTGGAAACAAACAACATATTTAGGTTTTGTAGCACTGAGACAAGACAGTTTTTCCCAAGTAAAAGTAGGATTGCTCGGGAGCAAACTAAAAAACATGCAATGCAACATACAAAAGGGAAGAAATTCTTTGCTGGGGAGTGCAGCTTCTACTAAACCTAGCAGGTCTTTCAGTTCTCCTTTGTAGTACTCAATTTGGAGTCTACTGTGAAGAAGAAATAATATCTAAATCTTAAATAATACAACACACTACTAGCAGCTTTTCAACTACAAAAATTAGACTGATATCATTATTTACCTCAAGTGAAAAGTCATTTGACTTTCCTGTTTTTAATAACTATCATCTAATTTCACTCATGCTGTGCTTGCTTTTATTGTTGACTCATATTATTAGTGCAATAATGCAAATGCAGCTTTTAAGCTTACCTTTTTCACATCTCTGACTAGCAAATGCAGTGTATTTGGAGGACCCAATCTCTGAAACAAAAATTATTTACTGTCCATTAGAACTTCAATAATTCATATTTTACACAAACAAAAATGACACTGCAAGAATTTAAGGCATCTACGTGCCATTACGTTCTACAGGGTTGAAAATAAGGAACTAGGCTACAGTGACATGCATAGTGTTAATCAAGAGTTGCATAGTCCTTTTCTTACAGCCCTTTATGTGGTAGTTCAGGAGCCTTGATTCAAGTCACAGCTGCTGCAAGCCTAGTCATCAGGAATGTGCATATGTAGGGAAACATCAGGACACTCGTATGATAGCAGTGGCTCCCTCTAATGCTATTCACCTTCTATTTACCTTTAAGGCTCAAAGCTTTTTAGAAACCAAATCATTTCAGAAGCATATATCAGAAGGAAGAGAAGAAAAAGGTCATTCCTATACAGTAGAAAAGATATCACAGGGCATTTTTTACTTCTACTCACTCACAGTATTATAAAGTTCTTCCAGTCGAGGAATAGTGAGGAAATGTTGCATGTTAACTCCATTCTCAATGAGTAGTTTAACAAAGTCCACTCGATCCAGAACCAGTGCATCCAGCATAGCCTGCTCCAGCGAATTCACCTGAAACACAGAACAGAGAACGTGAGATCACACAAGCACAGAAGATGTGTCTGACCAACAACTATTACTATTTTCATTACTTTAGAGATGCCCAGTTTCCAAATATGCTGATGATGACTAATCATTCATTAAGGATCACTTTCCCCTCTTTCACCAACTCACCTAATGGTTTTCAAAAATGTTGGTCACAAAGTCTAATGGATCATCTCTTAATATTGTCTAAAGGGTTAGAATGCAGTGATAAAGGTGGAAAGGCCTTGAGCAGCAGCCCTTTTGATGCATGATCCCGATTTCAGACAACAAAACACCAATCTACTGCAAATGGAAGGTGAAACACATAGACAAGGTGAAACTTAAGTTTTCTTCACTTGATAAATATTTTTATAGAGGGAGGACGAAGATGTTCACTAGCGTGCTTATTTTGTGCTGATAAACATAGGCAAAAAGAGGCAGCAGATAGGCACTGACTTGCACTGTTGTGGTACAGCTGCATGTAGTGCATGTAGGATGAGAAACATTCCTGGCTCAAAGACTGAACAGCAGCACTCCTGCAGAATTCTAATGTCAGTCCTCTGGAAACGTGCAAATGAGCATTCTGTAGAGTGAAAATGCAGGTTGCCCTCGCTCTTTGTTTTCAAGGATGGCTTAATCACTTTGGTTGAGTGATCTGAAAGCAGTTAACTCCTGCACAGAAAATGGATTTGTTGAATGGAATATAAAAGTGAGACTGGAAACTACTAAAACCCTACAAGGAATTAAAAGTGAGACTATCTAAAATCTCCTTTCATATGGATACAGGTATAGATATCTCTCCTATAGATGGTAGAATACCATTTGCACCATTTTGCAAGACACTTAAAAACTAGTACTGTCCAGATAATTCAGTCTCCCATACAGTTTCACAGAAGGGTAAAAGCCCACCTTTGCAAACTAATAGATAGGCATACAGAGAGAGGGGGAAAAAAAAAAGCAAACAAACTTTTCAACAGTTCATTACAAGTACATTCACCTCACCCAGTTCAAGAGTTCAAGCTTCCTTGGATCTGTTTCTTCTTCTGGCTCTTCTTTTACTTTTCCTCCTTTTTTCTTCCCCTTTCCTTTCGCTCTGGCTGCTTTAGTCTGAACTGCTGGAGATTTCTTTTCCTTCTCAGGGGCTGTGCCATCACTAGCTGTAAGGCTTCCTAAAGGCTTAATTTAATAATGCACAAGTATTAGAAATCTACTTAATTGTACTACCACTGTTTTATGAATACACTGCTATTGAACTTGTTTTTCAGTCACCACTTCACACATGCAATCTACTTAAAATTACCATTTCCTTAGGTATGTGAAACTTTTTGGTTTACTCATTTAAAAAAAACAAAAACAAAAACTCCAAGCTGTTATCTCTAATAGAATCAATAACACTGAAAGTCAAGTAGTGAAGTAGGCAGCCTGTGGTGGGATTCAACATAGAGGCTTTCTCTCCCAAAATTCAGTGCAAGAGGTCTGGGAAAAGACACTGCTTGATTATGTGACTCTTCAGCTTCTTTCCTCTCAGGAAAAGTTACAGCTGTCAAAAAAAACCCAAAAACAATAGCAACAAGCAGGACAAAGTGTTTAACAAGGATCTTGCATAATGCCAAATTGCATCTATACTGCAGAAGCAGAAAGAAGAAGAAAAGAGGGCTCCTGACTAGTTAATTTAGGCTCTGCAGACAATATTTGTGTTTATAGCTCTTCAGGCATATCTAGACTCTTCTGACTCCTTCCCCTTCTAAGCTATCTACCCAAAACAGGAAAGCACACGTGCAAGTATCTTGACATTACTTGTCTGTGCTATGGAGGCTTAAATTACACCAGCTAACACTTAGGTTATATAACCCCCATGTGCAGCGTACAACCATCTGTGCGCTGCCCAGAAAACTAGAGAACAAAGCCTGCTATATTTTTTGTTTGTTTTTAATGTTTAACAAGGCTTGTTTTCTCTTTTTTTTTCTCCACTTTAAAAAATCTTCTCTTTCTGGCCATCATGAAACATTTGTAAGCCTGGACAAAACTGCATCTGTCAATTCACAGAACATAAGGGCTGAATCCTCCTGACCAAAAAACATTCTTCATGGATTAGAAATTACAGTGTACCACAATTAGCTGACAGCAGATCCACAGATTGTTGCAGAGAATGATTATGAAATAGGAGAGACAATAGATGGATTCAGTTGCCAGGTGGTACATCTGAATTTAAGAGCAATGCTAGGGAGACTGGGACATTCATTTGAACAAAATCTTTTATACAAATAATATTTTATAATATTTAGGATCATGTAATTCTTTCCTTGTGAGCATTCCAATGACCTTTGAAAACATTACTATAAGTAAAGGAATAAAGCAATATCTGCAGCACCATTCATTAGAATTTTAATTACACAGGCTTCTAAATGAAATAAATCTTAGCATTACATAAAGCACATACGTGAATAGTGTTCATTTTATGGTGTAGTTTCAGGAAAGACGTCTAACTTTAAAAAAATAAGAATCCTTGGAGTCAACTTTATCTAGTTCAGGCTGATTTCTTCATAACACCATGGTAATTCAACACCAGATAGTTCGAACAGTAAAGCAAAAATCATCAATACAGAGAAATAGAAGTGGCTTAAATAGAGTATTTTAGTTATACTGATAAACAAAGGCACCACAGTGATTCACCATTGATTTGAAATAGTGTAGCACCACATTCTAAAATTTTGAGAAGGAAAATTTCACTGCAGAAACTAAAGCTTTACTAAAGAACTGTTTCTAAGTTCACTTAGCACAGCACTACCAGAGGAGTTTTCAGCAGCAGTTTCCTTTGGTTGTCTACATTTTTGCTCCATTAATCCAAACTGACATTTTCAAAGCTATAAAGGAAGCAAGATATGCAATTACTTCAAAGCATCTCCATGAAATTCAGCCTTGAACAGGTAGTTGGAGACTTCAGCAACTACTAGCATGTGTCAAAGAGATAAAAAGCAAAGTTGCTTTCCTTTTTTCAGAATTGAGTTTTTGCAAGTGGCAGCCTAAGTAAATTTCAAAACAAACAGGTCGTTCTTAATTAATGAAATGCCCTCCATCAGCTCATCATAAACAATAATTCAATAATATTCCTCCTGCCAACAAAATCCAGGGAGTTAATATTTGACAACTTATTTTCCATTTTTAGCAAATAACATGGTCTTACTGGCCAGTGGTGTCCAAAGACAAATATTTGGCTGCGTGCAATGTCTACACGGTTCCAGGCTAAAGCCAAGCTGAGCTGGTCTGGAGCAGATGCATTGGTACCTAAACAGAAACACATGCCAATATTTGGTATTTCGTGCATGATGAAACATCACAGAACAACCTTCTGCAATTCCCTTTCCCAAGAATTAAAAGCCAGCAAGCTCATTATCACAAGAATAATTCTACTACAAAGCAGTGCATGCACCAAACCAATTTCCAGCATCTTCCATTTGACCTCATAATCCTAATTTCAAAAGGATTAAGCAGACTGTCTCTCTATTTCCCTTAGAGCTCCCAGATTGACTTTATATTCTGTAGCTAAAGATAGACATAAAACTGTTCTAAAAGGCTCCTTCGCACAGCTCCCTTGGCTGATGCTGTAGATATGAGCACAATAATTCCTCTCTTAATCTCTTACTTAGCATTAGGGACTCCAGCGTTCTCATACTGAGCCTGCTATCAACTATAAATATTCAGACAGAAAACAGATGTTGTTCCAGCAAACATAACACTCTCCAAATAAACTGAGAACTGATCCTAAGTTTCGCCCTAAGGCTTAAAGAATACAATCTGAGCCCTGGAAAAAGCCAGTCTTCTAATCTTCCTACTACTTCTTCTATCTTTATTAATATGTGCAAAGACTGCGATAAAATGTGCTGAAATATCAGGATAGCTGTTGGCAGCATTTCCATTCCAGGCTCTCAGGTGAGGAAAGTGACACAAAAACTTCAGTCTAGATTTTACACTTTGAGCTGATCTGAGTTGCAATCAAGTATTTTCAAGTTAGTACTTTGAATAAAAGAAAATAAACCAAAAATTTAAATATTTAGAGTGAACTTCAGGCAGTGTGTAGACTTGACCTTTTAGGAATCACAGTATACATCCTTCCTTGCAAAACCCACCTTTGAGGAGAGCAGTTAGGATAGACATCTCAATGTCCTGTTGCCCTTCAGACCCCATACGGAACACAGTAATCTAAAAGACAGCATTAAACCAAAACACAGAATTGCCATAGATGAAAGATGGACACTAAATTACAGATAGGAAAAAAATAAAAATAAAGATAAAAATAAAAATAAAGATAAAAGTAAAAATAAAAATAAAAATAGAGCAGAATGGTAAAGGTTTATTTTCTAAGGCTTAAAATTTTTCAAAACGTCCAGTTCCACTATTTTTTTCTTTTTGAAATTACAATTTCACAAAAACTCTGATTTATACTTTTTCAGAAGACTTATCCTAACTAACCCCTACACAGTTAAATATGATAAACTTGCTGAAATTCTTCACCAAATCCCAGAATTTTCACGAACAGAGACAAAACTGTCATGGCAAACTGATAATTTTCTCATATTTTGCAGTAATAAGAGAAATGCCAACTTGGAAAAAGGAAACACTAACTATCTGAAATAACTACGATAGCTTTAATGCTATTGGCCATAGCACTCAAATATTTCAAAGTGATGTGGTTTGCCACATAATGACCAGCAAAACAGATACAATTAATTTAAAAATCAGATACTTCTAGTCATAGTTGCTTAACTGAGCCCATTCCAATTCTCTGCCTTTAAGAACTGCAATTCCTGCAAAGCTTAGCCATTAAAGGAGCTACATATTAAACAATGAATAATATTCAAAAGTGTATTCTATATTAATGATATTCTTTCTGAATAGAGATTAAAAAAAACAACAATCTTTCACTTTCCAAAAACATCTCTGCATAGTAGATGTCAGCATTAAGTAGTGGGAATGGCAATTTTTTCAACATTTTGAATAGATTTTACTTCTATACAAAGATAAATGTTTGCCACAAGACATGAAAGAATTAAAGGAAAAGTTGTATTACAGAACAAGAAAGCAGACAAAATTATAATCAAATGCAGTTTGTAAGCCTGCTTAGGTTGGGCAGTCAGCATTTGAATTTTGCTGTGATAGTCATTTTTAAATCTGAAGCAGTTTGGCTAAGGCAGCAGTCAGTTCTTTTTTCTCTATTAGTTCTTCTAGAGAGGCTGACTTATAATCAACTTATTGTAGTTACAACCAACTTGACTTCTGATGAAAGCAAAGTACAGAATTCATCTTGGCACTATAGGCACATAAAAGCATCCATAGTACACTGATATTACTGGAATCGTAGAATCATATAATGGTTTGGGTTGGAAGAGATCTTAGATGCTATCTTGTTCCAGCCCCACTGCTATGGGTAAGGACACCTCCCACTAGACCAAGCTGCTCACAGCCTTGTCCAGTCTGGCCTTCAGTGCTTCCATGGAGGGGGCATCCACAGCCTCTCTGGGCAACCTGTTCCAGTGTCTCACCACTCTCACAGTAAAGAATTTATTCCTAATATCTAGTCTAAATCTGCCCTCTTCCAGTTTAAAACCATTTCCTAAAAAGTCCCTCCCCAGCCTTCCTGTAGGCTCCTTTCAGGTACTGGAAAGCTGCTATAAGGTTCCCCAGGAGCTTTCTCTAGAAAAGACTTCATATAATAATAAGCTGAGTATGCTACTTTATGCAGAAGTAAAATACAAACAGATGGGTATCTATCTGACTGCAACACAGAGTTGCAATATTAGAAAATACAGAGTTTGTTGAATTTTGTTCCAAGTAGCATTGGCAGATGGATGAGTCCCTAGAGAATTTAGTTCTGACAAAAGTATTTAAATATATGCAGCAAAATTGAAATCTGGCCTTTATGACCTCAAGAACTAAGTAGTATCAGAATATGACTGAAATAAAAAAAACAGAGATAAAACTCAAAATAGTCCTTCTCTTCTTGCAGGAATCCCCCAGATTTAATGAACAATGGTGAGAAGAACATCGGAGAGAATATGGGAAAGAAGAAAACACAATTAGGAGAACAGACTGCTATTATATTGTACAGGACATGAAAAAGCAAGTATTCCTTGGCAGCTGAGATGAGCATTATGTAGAAAAGCTGGAAGCATGAGCCAATACCAAGCATAATCTCAGGAGAAGAGCAGCTTTTTGGAGAATGTGGAGAATATGAAGCTAAGAGAAACACTGCAAGGAACTTAGTGAGTGCCTCACACAGATGTCCATGCTCCAATCCTATCTCAGTTATCTTAGGACTCCTTCCTGAAAGGGGTCAGAAATGGCTTTATAGATAAATCCTCAGAATCACTGGGCATATTCTTTCATGCATTTTTTGACTCAGCCAAAATCTCCTAGCGACACTAATTAGTACAGGCTTCATGCATGAAAAGGTAGGCTCCTAATGGTAAGTCTACAGATAATACATTGGCATCATACCTTAAGAAGTGATTTGACTTACTGTTTGAAAATTTTCAAAACAATTTTAGTGTTCATATTTCCAAAGCAGAAGAAATAAAAGATAGCAAACATCATTAAGCTTCTTCACAACTTAAATGTTCTTTATATTTCAAAATACTTGCTTGTTGCCTTTTTATTTATATGGGAATTAAAGAGTGTTGAGCAATAGATCTGCACATCTCAGAGAATCAGATTACATCCAGAGGAGATGATTACATAGATTTCTGGAGGATGCGTACACTTTTCTTCGCCGGGGCACCAGGCATGATTCTAATCTGATAGAAGTTATTTCCTAAATTTCAATCACTTAATTGCTCAAGAAAAATGTAAAAATAATGCCTGGTTGGAACCTTCATCACTGTGGAGCTGCCCATATGAAATGAGGACCAGCATAAAGCCTGATGTACCAATTTTGGGAAGTTTATTTGTATTATGATGAGAATCATAGCGCGAAGTTTAGCACCAGCTGATGCCTTATGCAGTATCGTCATGTTAAGTAACAAGCTGTTGTGGTTTAACCCAGCAGGTGGCTGAGCACCACAAAGTCAATTACTCACTCCTCCCCCTTCCCAGTGAGACGTAGGAGAATATCAGGAAAAAAAAAGTAGAACATGTGGTTGAGATAAAACTATTTACTAAGATAGAGACAAGGAAAAGGATGATAGTTAGGACTATCCATAGACATATGAATGTACATAACAGGTAATGGACAAGCAATTGCTTACCACCCCCTGACCAATGTCCAGTTGGCCCCCCTGAGCAGCAGAAGAGAAAAAGATCAACTGCCACCCCCTTCAAAAATCCTGTATGACTCCAGATGGTATGGAATGTCCCTTTGGACAATTTAATTCAGCTGTTCTAATTCTGTTCCCTCCCAGCTCCTTGGGCCTTTGCTGAGAATGGCCTTGGCTCTGTACCACACTGCTTAGCAGCAACTATAAACATCAGTGTGTTATCAGTGTTGTTTTCCTCCTAGAACCAAACACATAGCATCATACCAGACACTCCAAAAAAACTATTCCATCCTAGCTGAAATTAAGATACAAGCAAATACTGCACAGAAAATACTGTTTTTTCTTCCCTCCATATATCTTTGGTTAATATAGCAGGATTTACAGTTTTTCACTGAACAATTAAACAATTACTTCTATCAAACAGAACTATACTCCCCAGCTGTAAGGAATACTGTTTACTGTTTATTTAAAATTCTAAGGAGGAAGTTACAGATCAGTTTATTGTGTGCTGTATTAAGCTTGGGAAGAAATTAGATAATGATTTGCCTCTAAGCTGACCAGAGGCAGAAAATGTGCACTCTGCAGAAGGACAATGCACTTAGTATTGAGGGAATATGAAACATAATTTTCCTAAGAAATTAAAAAACTTTCTTTTCTCAGCTTCAGGGTTAAAATGTTCTCTTTACCAATGCCTGTGTTACAGCCATCACTTCCCTAGTGATAGAATTAGGCAACCCAAAGAATCATGGTCTGAGGAGAAAGATGTGCTAATTCTCTTGCTTCTATCTATAGAAATATGCAACTTAAGCAAAAAAATATAAAAATGTCAGCTATATCTGTTCCAGTTGTAATTTGAAAACCATATAAAAATGTATTAAACTGTTTGTGTGCTATTAAAAAGCAGTTGCTTAAGACAAAAGAATGAAATGGAATTCTATCAAAACTCACAGAAAAGATCATATTTACAGAAATTCACCAGGACAATTAGTCAGAAGAAACCACTCAAAAACTGCACAGGTACAGTGAACACAATTTCAAGACTTCTTTCTCAACAGACATGAATGCTGAAGATTTTTTTTTCCTGAGCACACTTTTTCTGCAGCTGAGTTATGGTAGACAGGCATTAATCATATTGAGTGGTACAGTGCATAGAACAGGCCTGTTTTAAATCAGGATCATGCACAACTGGGATCATCAAGAACTCGGTGTCTTGTAGAAAAAGACTCTTTATCTTCTTACACAGGAGAAGAATCTGAAGCTGGTTTTAGAGGCTTTCCAGAAGACAAAATCTCTGTTTCTAGGAGCCTAGGTTTATGAATGCATCATTATGTATACTTACAGGTCTTAAGAAAGAAAAAAAAAAGTTGAACTGTAACCCTGGGCTTCAAAGTACTTGCAAAAGTCTGTTCATAGCAATTATCTTCATGAAATACTTTTAGGACACTTACAAGTTCCTTTTTTTTCATGCATTCCATCAGAATGATAAACAGCTGATGAGCTTGACTCCTGCTGTAATTGAAGGTTTTCTGGATAGTTACTAGAAGCTGGTCCCTGAGAGATTCACTTATTATCCTAAATGATAAAGGAGACACAAAACAAGACGTTGTTGGAATTAATATATATGTAAGGAAAGTCTGCTGCTTGAGAAACATAATTTTTCATGCACCAGAACAGTGATTTTATTTGAAAATAAATAAAGACACACAACATTTTCGCATTCAATATGGAAAGGTTGTGAAGTTTACAAAGTAATAACAGTAATCAGGAGATTTGTACCCAGACTGGCTCTTGTGCATCTCAGCCCTTCAATAAAGATTTAAAAACTGGCAAGGACTTTCAACTATTCTTTTGCCCTGGAAAGGAATCTCCATACTACAAGATGGCTCTTATTTTTTCTGTGAATGTGTATATATACTCTTGTTAAGTTCAGCCTTCAGAATTTCAGTAGTACAACTTACTGGATATGCATCTTTGCCTCTAAATGTTGCAAGGTTCTTTGCATGTAATCAAAAACCCTAAAATATTTCACACTACCAGTATGTCACCTTGGTTATCTTTTACCTCTTCAACAGAATTTAGTTGCTGGACCATATGAAACCTCAAAATACACACTGGAGAAACACAAAAACCAAAGATGACCTAAGAAAAAATGAGATTGAAAACACTTCAGCGAAGATCAGAAACGTCTGATCTCTCAAAGCAGTCTGAAACAGAGGCCATCCATTTTGGCTGTTTTCCTAATAAAATACATGTATTTTCAGGTAGCAGCAAACATTACCAGCAGACAATCAAATCAGTGAGACAGCTGAGCTTGCCAAGTGCAGTAAAATCCAAAGTTCATTGTGAGAAAATTATTCTTTGTAATCTGACAGCAGGGATGCCAGAAATTTCTCACTACAGACCTGTGTTACCAGGTGAACACATTTATCTCATCAGCATTATTGGAAAGGAAAACTGGACAGTGTAACATGCGCACTGGGGAAGAGAGTCATGCAGCAAGCAGATATCAAACAGATTGATCCTTATAAGCTCCTTCAGTTTCTGTGCGCTGATAAAGAGGGATGGATGAGAAAGAAAGAAAAGAAAGTTTGATCTAATCTAAGGAGGCTTGTTCAATGCAAAGAAAGATGTCACATCATAAATTCTATTGGTAGCATTAAAGCTGTAGTATATGTAAACCCAAAAATCCAGCATCAGAGCTGCTTTCCCACTTCAAGCACATAACATCTGCACTGTTTGAGAATAACAGTTATTTAATTCAATTTAAGCTCCAACTTCAGCCATGGAAACAAACTATTTCTTCAGTGAAAAGAGGGTGTGATGTAGCCTAATGAAAACCATACACATTTTTCCTGATTCTGTATTAACAATCGGTATGGAGAAGACGTTGTTTGATTGGGAGGAGCAGCATTTGAAATAGAAAATGCACTACTCTGCTTCCATTTGGAGTATCTATCAGGAGAGATCGTATACTCTGCAGAGAAGATGAGCTTTATTCTATATGTTTTGTACCTTTGAACAAATTGCACTCTCTACCAACAGAAACAGAAGACAACCAACTGTAAAAATCACAAATTCCACAAAAAAGGGTTCATTTGGGCAGTGAAGCAGAATGCTTCAGACAAATATTTGGCTCTGGTCATGGCAGCACTGCTCTGAAGAAATATCAAAGACACAAGAAAAAGCAAAAGAAGAAAGCCTGACATTTATTCAACCTGGCACTCTTGGAGCACAAATGTCATTCATAGAGCGCATTAGATGCAGGCAGTACATATTCTGCAAATACATGAACTATTAAAACTCAGCTCTGACCTGAGAAAAGGAGTAATTCTGGGAACCACTTGTTCCTTACTTCTAAAGCATCCAACTCAGCATCAAGTATCATGCAACAAACTTTGATGGATCTTATATGACAGTGTGCTGCACTGAGACCAAGCTTATGTTAATAGGCTGTCAAATACATTTGAAGCAGTAACAATTACTACTCATTAACACTAAGGAAAAGATCAAACAGGCAACAAAATCTGACAGCAGAATACCTCTGTTAGGAACATTTTGTATCTGAGCTTTTTTTCCAGGAAAATGAGGCGTAATCCCTCATCGTCTCCCCTGAGCAAGACACAGCTTTAGTGAAAGTCTCATAGTCTTACCCTCCTTCTTCTGAATACTTGTGTGCAAATGACAGAATATCAGATGCTCGTCCACTACCATCACAAATCACTACAGGGAGAGGAGGTTCTTCTCGTAGGCACTCCAAAACAATGGAGATAACATTGGGACCACCTTCCACAATAAGCCCAACTACAGGAACACCCTGTCCCAGCCCTGAAAAAAAAATAGAAGAGCAGAAACAGAAAAGAAGTGTAATTGAAACTGAGCTTAAGAGGTTGATATGTTATGAAGGGATGCGATTTTCTGTGTTACAGCATCACTTAAAACCAGAACAGTTAGGAAAAATTATGATTATTTCACAGCCAGTGTCAAGGAAGGTGTCTGTATACTGTTTCAAAGTCTCAGATAGAAAACAGCAAGTCTCTTTTCAGTTATGATGTGGTTTAATCCACAGTAGGAAGCTGTGCTCCACATATCTGTTGGCTTGCTTCTCTGCCACAGTGGGATGGGGAAAGAATTGGGGAAAAAAAAGAAAACTCGGGAAAAAAAAAAAGAAGAGAATACAAAAACTGATACACAACACAGTTGAATTGCTCACCACCAGACAAATGGTGAACTGTTCGTAATCTCTTGCAGTAGACACCATGCACAGACAAACCAGCTGAACACGATCCTACTATCACTTCATTATCTCCACTGTTACTTGAATGGCTCCCTGCTGCTGTGTCTTTTATGCTTTAACTGTTCCTTGGTTATCTACAGGAAGTCTTCAGTAAGGTGACATATGCCTATGCTTTCTCCTAAGATAGAAGTATGAATTTGGTGTCTTTATCATGAGACTGAGATGGCTGGCCGATGGAAGAGACGACAGCTGAGCATCCCTTTGCTGTCCCTGCCTCACTGTGATCTCCAGGCATAGGATGACAAAGGGAAGCCCACAGGTCACACAATCTCAGTAGTCTCAGTCACAACGGGGAAATGAAGGACAAAACATTACCTGAAGGCTGACCAATCCCCCCCACTATAAGCATTTGAATTCAATTCTTAATCTGTAAAATGACCAGCGTTCCATAAGTGAGATGCACTTTCTTTTGTACAGTTGACTTCATGTTTTCAGTCCTCTCTGAAGAATGGGAACAGCATGGATAGTAACAGCAAAAGCTTCCTGACATCCTCCTGTCAGCATACCCCAGCTCTGATAAGGAGCAGTCACAGAGCATTGGCTGGCCTCTGTGTCCATGAAATCCTCAGTGACTACCATTGAAATTTCCAGAAGAGGCGCTAGTGCTCGAGTGCTTGAAGTGATTAAAAACAAACAGAACAACTCTCTGTACCTTTTTACTAGTAAATGTACTGCAAAGCTTTACAGAATTCAAATATCCTATATGTATTCCCAACTTTGCCCCTCGTGTGAAAAATCTCTTACTTAAATCAGAACAAATATCCCCAGCCCAAAGTGGTATCAAAGGAAATAACACAAAACATCTTGCCTCTGGGCCCTGACTTCCTTATCTTCCAAGCCAGTGCTCTCTTTAATAATGTTACAACACTCCCAGCACTTCTGCAGAAGACAAAGATGTTAAAAGCATAGCCATGTTAGCTGTCTCAAATGTCTGTCTGGGGGCAACAGTGTGTGATAGTGTCTCCATGCTCAAAGGCAAGAAGCATAGTTTTGGTGAGTTAACTTTCTGCAGCTAACTGGAGGTTAAAAAGAGTGTGTAAAGACTTTCCAGAACACTTAGATATCTTTTGGCAGATCTCTACATGTATCTTTAGTCTTACCCAGCACTCTATTTCATTTTTCTGCTCTACTGTAAAGATAACTTAAACCCTATTGGAAACTTTTGTACAGTTCAATGCAATTAGTATCTTGAATGCTTTCTTTTTCTTATTTTTATAGGCCTACACAGTTTCTGAAGGCATTTCTCATAAATCAGAAAGGCAGCTGGTAGAACTGATGCCTATTTGCCTGCAACTTTTAATTCAAGCATGGAATCTAAGACTGATAAATTTCTCTTTATCATTTCTGATTTACTTTAACTTACTAGAAAGCCATCATTACTAGCATTTCTTATTTATTTCATCTCTAATTTTTTCAGTAAAAAATGTCATTTTAAATGCATTTTTCTTAAATAATGATGAAAGCAAATCTAGAAAATTGTTTTAGAGAGGACGTTAACTGACAAATTTTAAAACTACATGAAACTCAAAATATAATAACACCAATGTGAAAAGTAAAAATGCTGAGCTATGTCGGGAAGATCACATAATTTTAAAGGCAATATTTCAAATGAAACCAATCCATATAGAAGAAAAAAAAAAAAAACCTTTTGTAACAACACCTGGAATCAGAAGCCACAGAGATACAGAGGATTCCCATAAGTGGGATGTGCAGCAAATCATCTCATTCTGTGTGTTTACTGATGCTTAAGAATTCTTTCCAGAAATGCATAATATTTTATGTGTTCCTTTCTTTAAATTCTTACTGCTTTGAACCTTCATCTCACTATTATTTTTTAATCTTTTCATCCTCCTTTTATGTCATTTTCTTTCACTTTCCTGGCTTTTCTATGACGTTAGATATGGGCTCTTCCATCACTGTTCAGACAGCGTATGTCTAGCTTAGTCTCACAGTCCTGATCAAACTCCTGCTACGAAGAGTGGTAGAAACACTTAATTTCAATACCATGAAGTATTTCTAGCCTCTCTCCCTTCCCTTCCCTTCCCTTAATGTGCTATGTTTACAACTTGCCCCTCTGTACTTACGTGTATTAATTTTCTGGAGAGAAATGTGTTTTTCCAACTGACGTCGTAACTTCACTTCAGCTCCATATTTACCTAGAGTACCATTGTCTGCCAGAATGAAGTGGGTGTGGGAACTGTTGAGCACAGAAAGCTTGCTTAGAGGGTTTGACATTGTCTGGTAAACACGTGTTACCTGTCAAAAATCAGGTGCACGGAGATTAGAACTATGAAATAAACATGAAAATCCTCCAGTGTTCAACAAAAGCACACACCTTATGAGGAAACAAATCAACCAGATGTTTATAATTGAAAACATAGGAGAATTAGAAAAGAACTTGTCTTTATACTCAAAGCTCAAACTTTTCACAGCACTGTTTTCATTGGAGGATAACAGTCGTGTTTGTACATTCTTTTACATTTTCACCTATTCTCATTGATGTACAGCCCTTGATCACACCCTTTCTTACTCTCACTGCTTTAGGAATTACATTCCTGCCTGGAGTCAGCAGAAATTAATGTACCACTGCTGAGTACCTTTCTATAATAAACGCAAGTCTTGTACACGTAAAAGCACTTAAATGATTTATGGAGCACTCAGCATAGACATGGTGAAGGCAGAACCTAAAACAAACTTTTGCCAGAGAGAACTTTAACACTGAAAGTAATGTAAACCTCACTACCTCTGGGTATATTTGCTTAGTTGTATATAGAATATGGATAGAATACTGTCAAATATGTTTGAACAACAGCTTTTCTTTAAGGAGATTTCTAATTTCAGCAATGCTTTAGAAACTGTGAAAATTAATGCTCCAAATAGATGAGCTGCCTATTTCATTACTTTAATTACATGTTAATTCCTTAAAGACTTACATCTTTTCCTATCAGATCTTCCTTGTTTTCTACAATGCCCCATGGTGCAATTCCTATGGCACAGATTCGTCCTCTGGATTTTGAAGAATGGTCTTTCAAGGCATCTCCCACATGACGAATGACACCTATAGATAAATCTCACTGAATTAAATCTTGTCCCTCTTGAGAGAGATTACCAAACATTGAATTTTTCCTCTTCTCACTGAGATCCCTGTTTTTCTGGGCTGCATTCACTATGTAAACTGGTATCTATTTAAAATAGAGCATGCAATGCAGACAAACCCATGCTTGTATTTTGCAATTGCATGTAAACCTGAGTGGCTTGTTTTTTTCATATCCTTATTCTGAATTCACTCATGTCTTGGACAGACTTACCCAGTTACTTAATTACACAGCATTCTTTGAAGATCTATTGTATAATCAATATTAACACAAAATGAATTTTAAAAAATAACACCTGTGAAAACCCCAACAGTGAGAGGCTAATCAACCACTGAAAAAAATGTACCATATCTGGTGGTAGATTCCTTGCTACTAAAATCAAAGACAATAACCTTTTTCAGAGGAAACACTGTGTAATGCAAATCAACACTGACGCAGGAATATTTTACTGTCTGGGTTGGGTAGATTAATGAAAATCATTACAGTTCTATTTTTTTAGTCTAGTGGCTAATAATTCATTCATGAAGACTTAAATCTTACTCCTTTGGGAAAGAATAGTAACTGCAAATCAGTGAATTCTCAGGTAAACTAGAAGTGCTGGTAATTGTTTACCTGTACTAACACCTCCAGTGAAAATCCAGGCTCCGGTGGTCATGGCAGCCTTTATCAGACCTTTTCCAAATACTTGTTTCAGTTTCGGCTGCATTTCAAAGTTCTGGAGGCCTCCATGGACAGAGATTAAGAGTTTGGGCAATTCTAGTTGCCAGTCTTTCACCATGAGATGCAGCAGAGAATCTGGTTTGGTGTCATACGACACACGGATATACTGAAAAGATCAATGCAAGATATTATCTCTCTATTCTGTAAATTGTCCATTGACTAAGCACAGAATGATTGTATTAAACCCCCAATTTCTAAAGAAGAATTTTACAAATTTTAATCAATTTAAGGTTAATTTTATCTGCTCTTTAGTAGAAATAGGTTGAAATGCTTTGCTATTGGGAATTTACTGGCAACAGATGAATTTAAAAGAACCGCTTTCTTCTCCCTTCCTTCAAAACTGACTATGAGCAAGCTCTTATAACAAACCTACACTGTTGGAGGCTAGCTGTTCTAAATGACTGGAAGTTGCTTTTTTATCTTTCCTAAAATCTTGGTTTGACTGCTAGAGACCCAGTGATCATTATGAGAAATAAGAGGCCTATGGTCCGGTTATCCCATTCACTGTGGATATAAGTATTCGATATCTGAAAGAACAGTTTCTACTACTCACAGTTCAATTCTGCCTTTGTGATACCTTTTCAACTACTACTCTATGAAACAAAACCACGGAATAAACTAGTGCTTATTTCTGCTTTAAAAACAAACCAATCAGCGCTAACAAAAATCAAGCCCTCCTATATATTTTAGACAAGTTTTTGCAGTGAGTTGTTTCAACTGGCAGTCTTGGCAGAGAGATATGGAAGCAAATATAGAGAATAAATAATCCAGGTCTGAATCTGAGTGGCAAGACAGAAAGAGATTTTTTGTGGAAACTTGAATGCTGTTACTTCCACTGCTCAGAAAATTTAAAGGTCCATTTTCCAGCTCCAAGAAGCTTCCATCTTTCAGGAAAGCTAGACTCATTTCTATTTCTATTAGATGTTGAACCTTAAAAAAAATGCATATCCAGCCGGGGTTATTTGGCCCACAGTCTAACAAGCGTAGTACAGACAGAATCACCGGCACTACATGACTTCCCAGATGATATTTACTAACAGTAACTTTAGTGAAGCTGTTTCTTCAAGATATTTTAAGGTGCTTTCTAGGTAGTTATTATTTTTTTGTTCTCACTTCTCTCTTGCTTATTCTTTTTCATCATCCTCTCTACATCTTTCTTAGGAAGTGAATTCCTTTGGTTTCAACAAACTATGTATTGTGCAAGCTGAAATCTTGGCAAGTTTCTATTGATCTAGCATATGAAATGAGTGTCACAGAGTTGGCTATGGCCTTACCATGGCCTTATTTGAATGTCCTCCTCCCTGGAATTCAAGATTTCCATAGGCATCAGTTGGGTACGTTTGGGTGTGTTTGCTGATGGACCACTTCTCTGGCTGAGCTTCCACTTGCTTTGTTTCTTCTCCATTTTTATTAGCTGTTGTACTTGGAGGAGGTGGAATATGCTGGTTAATGAGCTGGCCACAGCAGCACCTAAAAGTTAAAATTTTAAGTAAAATTGAATACAGTATCTTCAGTATCATTTTGTGATTAAAAAAAAATCATATATGTGATATTCAGCTGACCATGCCTGGCTCTACATGGATCACAGAAACATCTCTAGGTCATATCTGCCACATTTACATACACACAAATGCCAGATTTACTAGCCTGCAAGTGTTTCCTTACAAGCAAGGACTATACATTTCACTTCACTTGTATAATAATCAGGATGGAATTTCTATGCTAAAAGACAGGAGAAGAGTGCAAAACAGGAGCAGTGACTGTTTCATGCTCAGAGGGGACAGTTAGCATGGAACAGTTACATTGTCCAAACATCTTGGACTGCAATTTAGATAGCTCACATAACAGCACTTATTGTTTGAACTAAGAAATCCATTCCTCCCTGCATAGTATTGTTATTGGTGATGCTGTCATCCAAACCTGTGAAGAACAGTATCATTTACATCACAACACACAATAGCACGTTCTTGCTTTCAAAATTCAGTATGACATTAAACTCTCATTTGCAATACTAAGAACTAACAGCTCACTGCCCCTCCTGCACAACTCTATAATCTCTGTATGCTACATCCCACAGCTCCATACAGACTAGGGTGAAATTATGCCTTGCACTTTTGTTGTCTATCAGTCTCACCTTAAGGGCAACAAGTAAACTTGGTCCCACTTTCACCTGTCTAAACACAAATATAGTCCAGTTTCATCGTTATTAACTTTTCAGTCAAAGGCAAAAATTTCAAATGTTACCTGCTAATGTCTTTGTTGTTGGCAATTACATAAATGCATTCTCTTTTTGAAAAGGTCTTCTCTATCCAAGCCTTCTGACCCTTAAAGAGAGAAAAAAATAAAAGGAAAAGTAATTAAACATTCCTGCGACAAATACAGTAACATTTCCATTCTATTTTTAAATACAAGCATTGAATTCAGTAAATCAGCTCTAAACACAACATACATCTACCCATGAAGCAAGTAGGTGATGTAAGTTTTCTATGACTTGGATAAAATTCAAACCTTGAACGTGTGTAAAAATCTCTAAACCCAAACATATTCACTTGATGGCACAAAGGTATCCAAAGCTCTTCCAAAAATGCAGTTGCTCCTTTCTAATTTAGTAATTAGTAAACGGACTGAAAGTAGTACAGAAATAATACAGCCAAGCTGTGACATAAAAAAAACTGACAGCATTTAACCCAAACAATAATTTAGTAATATTATTTGTACAAAGAAATTGCTTCCCAAAAACTTTCTCTAATTTGATTAATAGTCTCTTATTTTCCTCTTTAAAATAAAGTTCTAGTTATTCCTAAAGTCATTCCTAACTCAGCAATAGCATATGTCTGGGGAGTAAGAAAGTGAATGAACATTTGACAGAAAAAAACACAAACTCTGCAGCTACGGTGACAACTGTGACACAAAATGAGGAAAACAATCTTGAAGACAAAATAAAATTTCCATTTTTGGTGTGTTTGTAAATTAGATTAAATTAGACCAATCTCACAACCATTTAAAAAGCATAAAGTGTAGGCAGCCTAGAACAGAACCTGTGCAGTGAATCTGTGCAATGAGGCTAGAAAGCCTACAGCAGAACTGCAGTGCAGTTAGGTCTGGGAATGCTGAAGGCTGTGGGTTTAGAAATGGCTGCAGGCCAGTTTCCCATACTTTTGGGCTTGTCCATCCATCATCAGTAAGGCAAAGTACCATTATGACTGGCATACTAAACGAATTTCATAAAGAAAACTCAAAAGGAACTTTTAAACTAAAAAGGTTATTAAATTAAAAATGTTAAAGCACTCATAATTTTATGATGTGAATAGACTTGCCTTGCTGCTTCTGAGTTTGAATTAAGGAACTAGTATCAATGCATTTTTCAAGTAGTAAGCAAAAGCCACGTGTTTTAGTTTCCCCTACGGAAACGAAATTTTTGCAGAGACAAAACACTAAAAATTACGTGAACTTTCAGCGCTTCGTCATTAAAAAAATGGGACTTCCCTAGAAAAGTAGTAAAATCCTCACCTGATTTCCTGAATAAAGTGAATGGCAGATGTCTGTTAGAAGAAAGCTCTGACAGTCTGTCTGGTAATAGCTTAGAAAGCAGAGTAGCCCCCTAAGTGCTGCACAGCCTACAGCATGATGAATAAACGAATCCCAAACCACAAAGCCTCCAAACTCACTGCCCTTTTACCATTACATTCAGTGGTGTTGGTGTTACACGTGCTTTTGTGTACCATACTAACTTACAGAATGTTAAGGTTATAAAACAAGCTTAACAGGATCCTTATACAATTGGTCACATCCACTTTTTTTTTTAATTTGCCTTGTTAAATAAGAACCTGGTTTTTTTTGTCTGAATAAATTTTTGCATTGGTGTGCAAATCATTGATCAATTGACAGAAATGCCCAAATCAGTTTACAGGGTGGGTTGCATTCTCCACTACACAGCTGGCAACAGATGTTTCATGTTTAACTCTTCTGTAGAGAACACTGGAGAATCTAAGCTATGATATCACAACAACTTGGATTTTCACACCATGTCATTGATTATTGCTTTACCTCATAGCTTGCCAAAGAACAAATTTTTCTATTTCGTGTACTTCACATGAAAATAACTACTTAGCTGCTGAATTAAATCATAGATCTAATATTTGTGTTTGGACAGAAGCTTTTGCATCTTGGTATCTAAAATGAAAATATTGTATTTTCACACCTAAAAACCCCACTAGAGTTCAGTCACTATAGGAACTACAGTTGGACAACACATTATGCTCCACTGGTTTATTTTTTCAGTGCTAACGAGAGGAAGGCAAAAGCAGGCATTACAGATCACGAGAAATAAAAACTCAGCACATTCAGTCAGCCTTTGAAGTTTCACTGCTTTTGTCTGCTTAATCTGCTTAACCAAAGCTTGATTATAATCCAGTGCAAATACTTGAGCAGATATTCAGTGTCAGAAAACGGGTAATTTCCCCACTTGTTTGATACAGATTCTGTACATGCCTATGTCTGGATTGAAATGAGAAAAAATGCAAGGACGTACACTGTCCCTTATGAGTTTTTAAAAAATTAAGCACTTTTTAAAAGCCTTGGAATGGATAGGTTCTGAAAGAACTCTGGCTGATCAGCTACAGTTTTTAGACTAGTTTTTAGAAACAGGAGTGTTGGGTTGCAAGAGAAATAAATGCTACTAGCAAGACAGAGGCAACCAAAAACACTGCAGGTTTTCCACAGACCTCTGAGAAACAACTTAAAATAACAGCAAGACCCCAACTTGCTGATAGTAATCAAGTTCAATCCTATTTATTATTGCAAATTCCGGATGTACCTATCAGCACCTGATCTTGGAAAAATCACGCTTTAGATGCTCAATAACGTTTGTTCTCTTCTATGAAAACTGACTACAGGTCTCCTAAGTTATAATCAAAACCAAATCAAACCACTTCAAATTCTTGCTTGTCATGGATTTTTTTCGGTCCCAATAGCACTGAAAGAGGGCTTTCAGAGAAGACTGTTAGTTTGTACATAAGTTAACTATTGAGTTAACAAAACTAAGATTCAAAAGAATATCTCCTTTAGAGCATGAGCATTAATAAACACAAGAATTAGTTCTACAAAGATCAGTTGTTCCTGTAATATCATAAGTGAACTCCACTGTTTGCTGGTAGGTGAAAAAATGTTGAGGGGAAGGAGGGCAGAGATGAAGGTTACAGTGTCATTGAAGCACATTCAAAACCCAAACTCAACCAGACCTAAAAGCAGTGTGATCAGACCTCTCAACTGTAACGTTCTCCAAAAAATGATGCTCCATGCAATATGGACCTGCTTTTGCTGGACAGGCTGGCAAGCCTGGCAGGCTGGGCACGGGATGGGATGAAGCTTTGCCCCTGTTGTGCAGTCAGACAGCATTCATTGTAGGACATCTCTTTGGCACCTGAGGCCCTTCTGTAAGAGCAAATGCTCCCAGCTGCTGTGCTCCAGTGAAGCTCTGTCATGCTGGGCACAGCTGGGCAGCAGAGAAGCCAGCCCACAGACAGCAGCACCTGGTGCACAGAGCCATGGATAGATGCAATGAGGGAGGAGACAAGAGGCCAAAAAAGTGTTAGGCGAAAAACAGGCTAAAGTAAACACAGAATAATATAAAAATGGAGTTGGCTGGGCAGCAGTTTATTTTGATGAGAAAGAAAGAAATAACCAGAAGTGGAATGAAATTCAGACTGTGAACATGTGTGGTGTAAGCATAAGTCCATTTGTTGTGTGAACAAGTCTGCAGACTTCTATAAATACCATTCAGGTAATCAAATTCCACTGCTGTTATCTGAGGGGGAAATAAAACCCACAACAACTCTGCCCAATAATCAATTAGGAAAAAAGAAATCACTGTATCAGCAGAATCTCTATTGTCTGGAACTTCAAAATCAATACTAGAGGGATTTCTACTTTGAGCTGCTTTGAATGACAACTTCCCAGTTATACTGTCTAATAGCAGGTCCTTTTCAGGGGGTCATAAATGGGACATCTGGAAGCACCAGTGTACATGCTGTGTCACGGTACACAGCTTCTCAGCTTTAGAGCAGAGTCATGTCTGGCCAGCAGTTCTTGTGCTTTTTCTCATTTACAAGCATTGAAGCACCATTCCTAGATAAGTACTTCTCTAGTTTTGCTTTCTTCCAGAAATAAGCACCTTCATTTCTCTGCAGCTGAAGAACATGCAAGTGGCTATATGTGAGGTGCATTTCCAAACGACCTATCCTTTTACCTCAAATCCACTACAGATATCTGTGGATCCCTTCTACATATCCAGTTTGCACAGGTTTATGCTGAATTTGCAATAGACTCTGCTTTCCAAGACTGGTGGGGTTAGTTCCCTTTACTACTCCAATGCTCACTGGGATATTACTGAGAATGTGAAATATTAAATAATATTTGCAACAAGGAGGATCTCCTATGTTGTTTGTTAATGAGCATCAAAAAGGGAGTAAAGATAGTTATAAGATTCCTTCAAATGAAAGTCTTTTTCATCAAAACAATTCTTGTTCTCATCCCAAGGTAAGTTTCATATGATTCAAATTGACCCTGTGTTCTTCCAGCAAGGTAACCAGGGAACCATTTGGTCCGTGAACAAAGCAAACAACACAGGCAAGATAGCAGTGCCAGTTAGCAGTACTGTTATCACAGAAAAAACATGACATCTGAATTATCTCAAACTCAGCCAGAAATCACTCCTGCTGATGATGTGGAAGCCAATAAACAGTGTTCCATGCCTTCATTATGCTTTGTGTTCTGGACTGGCTGGTGAGGCAGGCAGCAAGCATCTGCCAAAACAATAGGAATCATTTCCTGTCCACTTGAATTAGTTTGTGGATACAGGATACAGAAAGGAAATAATAGGCTCTCCTTTCCCAAATTTACGCAATCCTACCACATCTTGTGGAGATTCTGCTTTCCCAGAAGCTATGGAAAAGTGAGCAATGACTGTAGCCTCAACACCACAGCAGAGCTGGCTTGCTCTGCCATGGTTGTGTACATCCAGCTCTGGCACAGTCTGTGAAGGCGCATTAGTAAAGTGTGCTGGCTGAGCTCGGATGCCCAACATAAAAGCACATAAAGCTGCTTGGGTACAGCTCAGCATCAATGTAAGGACACAGCTGGCATAGCAAAAACAAAGCAACTCAACAACCATTTGGAGAACAGAGCTGAAAAACCAGTCTATTCTAACCTGAAATAGAGAAATGCTATTATCGAAGAATATTTCTATGCTTCTGTATCCTCAAATTTCACTTTGTGAAACCAATCAATACTCATGAAATCATAAGCATAACAAAATACTTCTCTC